GGGCAAAGGAATGCTGACTGGACTTTTAGACCCATTGCTTTCCATACACTGAACCTGGGGCTTCAGCAGCCTCTACTGACAACTGTAGGCATGTCCCACTCTATTCAGGGAAGCTCCCTGTTGCTCCTTCTGCCGAATTTGTAATCTCAGTGCACACAGGGGTTTAGATAGCAGCAAAGGATCATGACAGAAAAGCCCCACCCCCTCAGGGGCCTCGGACACCTCTACCAACTAGGCACACTTCTTTCTGGGTCTCACTTAGCTATGACTGGGTCCTTTCCCTGACCTGCCTTCTCCCTTCCAGACCTCTTCTAGCTTTTCTTTCTTTCTTTTTTTTTTTTTTTGTGGTACTGGGGTTTGTATTCAGGGCCTACACCTTGAGTCACTCTGCTAGCCACTTTTTTGTGATGGGTTTTTTTGAGATAGGGTCTTGGGAACTATTTGCCCAAGCTGGCTTCAAACCTTGATCCTCCTGATCTCTGCCTTCTGAGTACCTAGGAGAGCCTGGCTCTCTTCTAGCTTTTCTTCCCTCTCCTGCCTGATCTCACTTTTCTTCTGCCTTTACTTACTTCAACCCTTTTGGAGTTTTTGTTTTTGGTGATACTGAGTTTAAACTTAGGGCTTTGTGCTTGGTAGACAGAAGCTCTACCACTTGAACCACTCCTCCAGGTCTTTTTGCTGTTTGTTTTGGGGATAGGGTGTCGCTTTTTGCCCAGGCTAGCTTGGATCAAATTCTGTCTCTGGGATGACAGGCACATGCTATCATACCATGACCAACTATTGGTTGAGAAGAGGTTCACGAATATTCTTTTAGCCTGGGCTGGCCCCATACTATAATTCTGCCCATGTCAGTCCCTCAAGTAGCTAGGATTATAGGTGTGAGTCACCTGTGCTTGGCTCTTGACATTTAAACCCTACTATCTATCTACAAGGTCTTAAATTCATTAGCAAGAGAAATGCCAGCAAAAGTGGATTGTGCATATGAAGTTAAATTTCAGAAAATTTATAAAATGGTCCGAAACAGAGTAGTATGTTCTTAGGCAAACCATGTGAAAATGTTTCATATCATACCAAAATACTTGGCAATGTGAAACACAACTGGTGTGACCTTCAAAGGTCTTCAGAACACAGTTTCTGCTTTCTAGTTACTTCTGTGCTTCTCGTGTGCCTTTACCTCAGCACCAACAGGCTTACACCGCTTCTAGAATGCACCATCTGAATCCTGTGTATGTTTCCTTGTCTGTCTAGACTGCTAGACTGTTCTCTTTGCTTCTGACTACATAGTTCTGACCTCGCCTCATGGCACAGCTTTCGTATTCCACTTAGTTTTCCTTAAGTGCTTTGCCAACAGCCTGACTTGTCAAAAGTCTGATGTCCCTAGCACTATTTCCTAAGAATAGCACTTCATCAGAGACAATCATGTCTAAGGAACCTTTGGTTGATTGCTATCACTCCACCTTACATATATGTACTTGCTTGTCATCTTTCCCAAATTAGACTGGAAATGACTCACTCTCTGGAGCAATATTTTTAAAACTGGCCAAGGTGCAGACCAGTGTAAAAGAATCTCCCCTGAGCTTATTAAAATGCAGCTCTTAAACTGTGCAGGAGAGGATGATCTTGTAAGTCTGGGTACAAACAGAGCATAGATGGGGCTCTGGAATCAGCATATTTTACCAAGCTCCTAACTGATTCTAATGATGATGAACTGCCATGTTGGAAAGCGCTGTACCCAATGAACCTAGCATAAGGCTCTGTACAAAGCAGTACTTACATGTTGCTTAGCTGTATGCCTCTGGACTGGTAATGAGCTTGTATTATACCTGTCCTGTTTCCCTAAATGGGGTAGGACTATTTTTGTTTCACTACCTAATAGGTACTAAGCTCTGTGCCCATATACATGCATGATCTAGTCTTTCTAATAACCTTTGGAAATAAACTAGTAGTCTTATTGGGCTGGAGAAATCTGAGAGTCTAAGGAACTTGTTTTAGTTTACAGCTGTTTTAATAGCAGAGCTGGAATCTGACCTCTCAATTAACAGCTTAAAGTCCATGACCTTCCTAATTACTAGAGGGCATACAAACTGGTGGCTTATACCTGGCTTGCACATTTGCACTTTTTTTTTTTTTTTGATACTGGGCCTTGCTGTATTGCTCAGGTGGTCTTGAACTCCTGGTGTTCAAGCGATCGTCCCACATCAACCTTCCAAGTGCTGGGACTACAAGAACACACCACCACACCAGTTTGCAAGTTAAGTTTTGACAGTACAATATTTAAAATTATTAAAAACTAATTACCAGGGCAGGAGGTGTAACTCAGTTGTAGAATGAGTGCTTATCATGCACGAGGGGCCCTGGGTTCACCCCCAGTACCCTCTCTTCTCATGAATTAGCAACATTTTTAAGTTGGAGGGGAGGGGAATTGATGAGTGCTGGGGCTCACACTCTTCCCCAACAATCAGATGGATGTTGTTGGAATTGAATAATCACCATTCCTCACTTTCATTCATGGCAAGACCAGCTCTTACACTTTATTCCCAACCTGGTCCTAACAGGCCTGGCTTTGCATCCCCTGCAGTTTTATCTGCTATCTTGCTCCCCATGATCAGGACATTTGGCAAACCTTTTGTTGCTGTGACCTTAATGGGTTTCTGGTCACAGAAGCATGTGTCTTTCTGATTTTATGACTTCAATACTGAGGAACCTACTGGTACATTATAAAGGAAAACTGGGATCCCCGCTCAAGTGACACATTCTGACTAGACCCAGGAAAATTCTACATTCAGCCTTTTAAAATACCCAAGGAAAATATGGCAAATCTACTTGCTCCAATTCAAGATTGTCTGCAAGTAAGAAAGAAGCCACAGTAAGCAATGCCACCAAGTGGTAGAGAGACTCAATGTGGAATCATCACCCTCAACTGGAGAGGCAGAGAGGTTAAAGACCTGTCTATTTACAGGGCCATTCAGAACCTAGAAACGTAAGCTGGTCTTTCCAAGGCTGTTTAAAAGCTAGTAACATGGACTGGTTACATTAGGAGGTGTGCTTCATTTTTATGGCTTTTTGGATTGTTTTTGTTCATTTCCAAAAACAAGTAGCCATTGCTGCTAGGTGAACACATTTCATTTTATGTATTCCTGTTTTTTGAAGAGCATGAGCAGAGAACTGTTTTTGTGTGTGTGTGTGTGTGTGTGTGACTGGGATTTGAACTGAGGGTCCTGTGCTTGCAAAGCAGGTGCTCCAGCCCATTTTTGCTTTGGTTATTCTGGAGATGAGGTTTAGAGAACTATTTGCCTGGACTGGCCTTGAATCACAATCTTCCCAACTAGCTAGGATTTTAGGCATCAGTCACTGGTGCTGGGCTATTAAATTCCTTTAGTGTCAGTATACCAGCCGGGTTTAAAAAAACAATGCCCCTCTAAACAAACCAAAAACCTCTTTGCAAAACAAAGAGTGGGTAGGGTTTCACATTCATTGAGCACTTACCAAGAAACTGTGCTGGGCGTTTATATATTTCCTATAAGCTTGTTTGTTGAGTTTTCTAATTTTACACGTAAATAAAATTACTATACGGTGAGGGACATATAGCTCTAATTTTTCATTTGTTCTCAACATTGCCAAAGGCTCCTTGGAGACCTCTCAGAAAGACAATTAGGTATATCCCTAGTTTCTCAGTGCTCCCTAGAAACCTAGAGCCATTTCAAGGTATAAAAATAAGAAGTACACTTCTTTGTCACCTTATCACCTAATCAGCATGGAAAACTATTTTAGGACTTTCCCCACCCCCCTGCCCCAATTCTCAGTTCACTATCAATTCTCAGCTCTCTATCCTCCCTACTCTCTTCAATACCTTCTGAATAATTTTCTAAAAGGGATGAGAGCAGCTGGGTACGGTGGTGATCACCTAGAATCACAGCACTCAGGAACCTTGGCTTTGCAAAACCAAATTCACCTGGTCAAGGCATGTATCTGTTCTATCCTCAACAGGTTTCCATTCCCTAGAGCTGTAGTCCAATAGGCATTATTCATTAGGAGAATTAAGACAGGATCATAGAGCAAAAGGTTGAAGAGGCTGACTTTCTTGTTTACTTGTATGAGGAAAACAACACATGTGCATCCACAGTATTTAATTTGTTTGGATAATAGATACAGATAAACAGGTACACTCCATATACAATTACCGATACTTTTTTTATACAGTTCATATTTCAGTACATTAACACTATTTTATTTACACTCTACTTATGTACATTAACATCTTTCTAAAGTCAGTGCATTGTCAACAAGTTTTATACAGCAATTTACAAGGTGAATGTAGTTAATAGTTAATTTAATAAATTTTCTGCTAGTTCATGAATTTAAAAAATTAATTACAACCAATGTAACAAACACAGATCAAACAACATTAGTAGATTGTGCTACCTGCTTAAATAAAACATCTGTAAGGAAATTATTTAAAACTTTCCACTTTCTTATGGGATTTGTACAGGTAGAAATGGACAGATTTTACATACGGAAAATCTTGAGACTATAATGTATGCATTTTGTCTGACTTCCTTAAATTATGCCAGTTAACGCATTCCTTCCTGCTTGTAATTATATTCTTCTTCTGAAAAGGATTTCATCTTAAGTAGCCATTTGAGATAACCTTTCTAAATGCTCTGAGAAGAACTATGTAGTTACTAGCCTCAAATATCAGAACACAAATGCTTGATTAATCACATTGGTATTTAATACCTATGAGGAAGAAAGGGCAAAAGAAACTGACATTAAATGAGAATCAACTTCCAGGGCCTAAAAATAAGGAGAAATATTTCCTTTGACTATATATTAAAACAACAGGAAAAAAATGCTGTCTGAAATAAATAACATTTATACTTTTGTTCCAGTCTTGAATAATCATAGGAAAAATTATATATGCAAAGAAACAACTTTTGAAGACCAGTGCAAAAAATAAAAAGGGAAAAATGACAGATACTAAAATAAAAAAAAAAGGACATGCAAACAAAACAGAAGTTTACTTCTTAAACCCACCAATTTCATTAAAAATACTTAATTACCAATGTTTCAGGATGCATTTTGTTTTTAAATTTAATATGATAGAGGAAAATACCCCAATCAAGTTAATTTATAGCCCTTTAGAGCCATCAAAATACAGGTAAGTTTATTTGCATGTATTCTCTTTTTTAAAGTGCAAAAGAAACAAAGAGAAAAACAACCACTAATGTGAAACACCATCTAACTGACGTCTTTTACCTCCCAGAAGCTCTTTGTGCAACATATGCATGGGAAGATGGTGCAAATATTGGCAACCACCCTGCCACACTCAGCAGTGTATATGTGTGTGTGGGAGGACAGGTTTTTGAGGACACTTAAAGTATCCTAAAAGAAAGATTCCTCTATCAGGAGGGCCATTGTAGTTGGATTCCACAGGATGTTTTTTCTTTCTCTTGGGTCTACCAACTAAGACTCCAGGTAGAAGGCACATAGTTTTCAAGAGATTATCCCTTTCAGATTGGCCACTATATGCCTCTGCCACCAATAACTAGTTGTGTCTAAAACACAAACACAACAACTAGAATGAAAAGAAAGACACAGAAAGAGTGGGGAAATGGCCTAAAAAAATGAGAAATCTGTGTCCATGCCGAAAGAGTCATTTGCACACCTTCATGATCTTGCTTTCTCCACCTTGTCAATAATGGAATAAAACTTCAGGAAAAAGGAGGTAGCATATCATGTCGTCCCCAGACAACACTACAATTTTTGTTTTACTTTGACTCCAAGGAAATCCTTAGTATTTTGTTATGATTTTGTCCATATATTTTGTTCATATATGGACAAGCACAATTTAATTCTTATTTGGTCCCAGGTGGTTGTTGCCAAACCCTTTTGTTTACAGGCTAATGGTGGGATCTGCCTGAAACTTCTCTACCAATGAGCTTGAGAGAGACTTCAAAACAAATTTATTACTACTCTTAAATTTGACAGCTATTTTAGTTAGGACTTTTATTTTGTGCTTCAGGGTCACAGGATAAAATAACTACATTTAGCTTGCTTTTCAGTGACGCTTTTGCCAAATGCCAGCTACAAGGAGTCATCTCCCTTACCACCAGCCTAACAGCCACAGCAGCAGCTTTACTGTAACACACAGTACTTTTTATAATCAGACTCAAAGTCTTCATCCATGCTGCTCGTGTCTGCCATCTTTTTGCCATCGATTTTTGGCAGAAATTGTGCATAGTCTATCCCCTGCTGCTCATAGAAAAGAATGTAGGCAGAGTCGGTGTCAATTTCCTCAGGGTGAAGTTCCTAAAAGGGTAAGAAAAGCCTTAAATTAAAAAGCCATCACTATGTTGCCTCTTAATCTTGCCAGGGAAGAGAAGACTCTCTAATTAGTAAACCTGATTGCTTCCAATTAACTTAGTATGTCAGGTGTCTCGCAACTGACAATGCCCTGAAAATGAGCTCCATTATTATTATTTATTATTATTATTTTTTTGTGGTACTGGGGCTTGAACTCAAGGCCTACATCTTGAGCCACTTCACCAATCTTTTTTTGTGATTTTGTTTTTTTATAAGATAGGGTCTCACAAACTATTTGTCCAGGCTGGTTTTAAACTGCGACCCTCCTGATCTTTGCTTCCTGAGTAGCTAGGATTACACCAGTTACCAGTGAGTTACCAGTGCCGGGCTAGCCCCATTATTTTCAATCTATGTTTTGGGGAAAATATTCTAACCCTAGGCAAATGAATGCCCTAAACCCTATCAAATTCTAATAGTTCAAAAGATGGGCTGGAGAGTCTAGTTAATTGTTGAGTGCTTGCCTAACATATGTGAAGCCCTAGGTTTAATACTCAGCACTGCAAAAAACAGACAAAAATAAAAACAAAAAAATAATTCCCCCACCTTAAAACCCTAAAGATTGGAACTTTTTCTCACTAATACCTACCTTCTTTTTCTCACTGTTCACATTTTCATTCCCTTCTCTATATATCACTTTTGTCCCCTGAATACTGACAGCATCTATATACCCATCCTAGTAGAAACATCTATTTCAGGAGAATGTTCCCCAGATTTCCTGACACTTTGTTTCTAACTTTCATTCAAAGATGGAGAATATTTACCTTACAGCTGCTGTCATTGTAACAGTACCACTTGCAGTTTGGGTTTTTGGCATAAGTGACGTAATGGCCCCCACCCAGAATTCCTGAATGGCACTAGAGAGAGAAGAGAGTGGTGGAATGTTAGTAGTTAACAGTATTATGGCCAGGGCATAGCACTAGGATCTGAGCAAGAACATCAATCACTTAGGTTGGTATGAAAAAAATGCCATGAATTTTTCCCCTTAAAATCTGATAAACAAAAGGCAAAAATCCAAATATCTAAGTCCAAATCTTGTATTGATGACCATAGTTGCAATTTAAAAAAAAATTTTTTTTGAGACAGGGTCTTATTATGTAGTCCAGGTGGCTTTGAACTTTAAATTCTCCTGCCTCAGTCTCCTGAGTGCTGGCATTACAGACATGAGCTACCATGCCTGACCCTGCAGTCATTTTTTAGAAAGCAAAAATTCCTTAGAAACATGTAATAAAGAATAATTTGAACCTCTGACTACACTTATCCTAATTACATAACCACCTCCATATTACACTGTTAGCACTTTGAATTTTATCGGGAAGGCAAAGATTTCGTTAACTTTGCCTATCACCAAGCTTAATGCCTAGCAAATAAACAGACCCTGAAAAAATGCTTGTTGATGAATGAATGAAGACAAGTAAACAAACTGCTGAAAAGAATAGACAATTTCTTGAAAACTACACACTACCACTTACCGAAATTGCATATAGGTTATAAATAGGTTTAATATGAGTGTCTTCTCTTTGGTCATCAGTGCTGTCTTCTTCACTGTGATTTCCAAGTTGACCATTGGTGTAGCTGTTGCCACATGCCTCATGCTCATAAAGGAACCCATTGGCCAAAGTGACTTCATGGTCCTGAGGGGTAACCAACTCAGGTTGGCTACCTTCTAGCAAGTGCCCTTGGCTCAAGGTATCAGTCAGCTCACAGATATGCCCAGCCCCATTCTCTTTACTGGCATCCAAGTTCTCCTTACTATTGGACAATTTATTTTTGCTGCCAATCTGAGGCAGTCGGAGCCTCCCTTTGCTCCTCCCCAAAGTTCGTGGGCTGCTGGTAGGGCTGCTAGTTTTGCTAGAGGGACAGCTGGTTCCACTTTTTCTTGATGAAGAAGGTGAGCCTGTAAAAGGGAAACAGGAAAAGATTTGTTAAGTCCAAATGCCGCAAGTGAAACACCAAAGATAACTTTAACACTAGCTTCACAAATGTACACATAAAGGTAAAGATAGGGGAGTCTTGAATGGCTCCTCTTTAGTTACTAGTATAGAGCCAGTAAGTTAAGCAGCAATGTCCTAAAAATGTAAAGTATGTTGTAGAAGTTCTGAAGTAGCAGGAAAGTGCTTTATGTCACATTCAGTCCAAAACAATGTAATCATTAGACTAGGCAGTTTTATACATACACATTCTTCTATGTAAAACTGGACAAAAAAATAAGACCACCATTTATATTACTAAGCATGGTATTAGGAATGGATTATTATCTCTACCTTACACAAAAATCCTGTATGAAAGGGGGATTGTAAACTTTGTGATCATCATCTCCCATTCCAATCATTAAAAATTTTATACCATTAATAATTACTGAGCATTGCCGGGCGCTGGTGGCTCATGCCTGTAATCCTACTCAGGAGGCAGAGATCAGAAGGACTGTGGTTCAAAGCTAGCCCGGGGAAAAAAAAAAGTTCGTGAGACTCTATCTCGAAAAACCCTTCACAAAAATGAGGCTGGTGGAGTGGCTCAAGGTGAAGGCCTTAAGTTCAAGCCCCAGTACTGCCAAAAAAAATTACTGAGGATCCCTAGAACTTATGTTTATGTGCATTTCATACATCAGTATTTCCCATATTAGAAATCAAAACTGAAGAGCATTTCACATTTAAAGTGATGATACAGGGCTGGTGAAGTGGCTCAAGTGATATAGCATCTGCATAGCAAGTGTGAGGCCCTGAGTTCAAATCCCAGTACTGCCAAAACCAAAGTGATACTGGCATATAGTAAAGTGATAATATAATCGTATGACATGTTGTCTCTGACTACACTGTATATTTTTAAGAGAATGAAAGTAAAATGTCATAGAGCTGGGGAAGCAGCTGACTGGTAGAGTACTTGCCTAGCATGCACAAGGCCCTGGATTTGATATCCATCACATATACACAAAAAAGTCATATACACTCAGCCCTCCTTATTTGCGGATTCCACATTGACAGACTCAACCACAGATCAAAACTTGAAAAAAAATTTCTTTTAGGTACTGTAAGAGACCTAGAGATGATTTAAAATATAAAGAAAGGATGTGTGTAGGTTATATGTAAATATTTTTGCACCATTTTATATCAAGTACTTCAGCATTGTGAATTTTGGTGTCCATGGGAGGTCCTGGAACCAAACCCCCATGGATACCAAAGGAGGACTGTATGTGATGGTTAAGACGTTATCATGTCTTTTTGAAGACATAGTCCAACCTAAACAACAACATATATTTTGGAAATTTAAAAAATGTATCTTGTCATTTTTTTCTTTTTCTTAGCATATATTAACTGCACAAAGGGGTTTCGATATGGTATTTTCATACATGCATATAATGTACTTAGATTAAATTTACCTCCACTATTACTCTTTGTCATCATCCTTCCTCCTCCCCCCGCCCTTTTTTTTGAGGTACTGGGGCTTGAACTCAGGGCCTTCACCTTGAGCCACTCCACCAGCCCTATTTTTGTGAAGGGTTTTTCAAGGTAAGGTCTTACAGAATTATTTGTCCAGGCTGGCTTCGAACTGCAAGCCTCCTGATCTCTGCCTCCTGAGTAGCTAAGATTACACTTTACCCCCCTTTAAACATTTTTTTTTTTTTGGTGGTACTGGAGTTTGAACTCAGGACTTAGTACTTGCTAGGCAGGTACTCTACCATGCCTCCAACCCCTGCCCTCTTCCCTTTAAACAATTTTTTACTGGCTTTCATTATTCTATTTTCATACATGTGTATGAAATACTCCAGTCATATTTACCACCTCCTTTACCCTCTTTCACCCCTCCCCTCACTAATTGATTCCTACCCCCAAACAGTCCCCCTGTTTTATGTCAGTGATACTTTCGCTTTTTTTCATTTAAAGTCTAGACACTGTATATGAGAGAGAATATGCAATACTTGTCTTTCTCAGTCTGGCTTATTTCACTTAACACGATGATTTGTAGCCTCATGCTTTTTCCTACAACCTAATTTCATTATTCTTTTTTTTTTTTTGTAGAAAAGGGGTTTGAACTCAGGGCTTCGCATTTGCAAAGCAGCCATTTTACTGCTTGAGTTACACCTTCAGTTCATTTTACTCTGGTTATTTTTAGAGATGTGGTCTAAAAATTATCCTCTCAATATCAGCCTCCTGAGTGGCTAGGATTATAGGCATGAGCCACCAACGCCCATTCTTTATGGTTTTTTTTTTTTTTTTGTACTAGGGTATGAACTCCAGGGCCTCATGATTGCTAGGCTCACTTGAGCCACTCTACCAGCTGAGCTCATTATTCTTCATGGCTAAATAATACTCTACTGTATATATGTAACACATTTTCTTTATCTATTCCTCAGTTGATTGACATAGTGCAGGTATTGTGAATAGTACTGCTATAAACATGGTATGCAGATATCCCTATTACATGCAGACTTATATTCCCTCAGGAGTGATATTTCAGGATCATATGGTAGTTCTAATTTTAGTTTCTGAGGAATTTCTATACTGATTACCATAGTGGCCCCACTAATTTACAATCCCACCATTAGTGTATAAGGTTAACAATAATGTATATGACATATAATATACACTTCTACTTAGCTTTATTGTTAACATTGTGTTGTATCTGTCTCAGATTTTTTTTTTTTTTGATGGCACTGAAGTTTGAATTCAGTACCTCATGCTTGCTAGGCAGCACTCTTACTGCTTGAGCCACTTCACCAGCCCTTTTTCATGATTGGTATTTTCAAGATAGGGTCTCGAGAGGTATATGCCCAGGGATGGCTTTGAACCGTGAGCCTCCTGAGTGGCTAAGATTACAGGGTGAGCCACTGGCACCTGGCCTGTTCCAGATCTTTATTTTTATTTAAAAAAAATTTTTTTTGGTGGTGCTGGGGATTGAACCTAGGGCCTTGCACATGCTAGGCAAGTGTTCTACCTGGGAGTTACATACCTGTTTTTTTGTTTTGTTCTGAGACCTAGGCTGGCCTGGAAATTACTATGGAGTCCAGACTGGACATAACTTATGATTCTTCTGCCTCAACCTGAGTGCTGGAATTATAGGGGTGCACTACCATGCATAAATCAACTCTTGTTTTTTGGGGCATGGTCTTTCTGGTTGGCCTGGAAATTACTATGTACTCAAGGTTGGCCTTGAACTCTCAGTCTTCCTGCCTCAGCCTCCCAAATGTTGGTACTACAGTCATGTACCAACACATCAACCTCAAGTCTTGATTTTTAAAAAATAATTCAGATACAAAGGAATGACTGTATTAGCTTAGTATTTTTATGAAAATAGTTTTGATCCTCAAGACCTCCTGAAAGGGGGACCCCTAGGGGTTCCCAGACTATACTTTGATAACCTATGCTGTAAGGGAACAAGGATGACAACTACCATTCATGTTAATCATATGGCAGGCATTATATAAAGTGTATCACTCTTCATATTTCAAATCCTGACTCTAACTTGGTATCATTTCCATTTTACTGATGAAGTCACTAGATTTAAGGAAGCTTTGTATCTCTTGCTAAAAGTTACATATGTAAAATACATATAGGTCTGATCCCAGGAAACTTCCTTGTATCTTACCAAGCTGTTGTTCCAGAACAGAAGACAGAGGGGAAATATGCAGCTCACAGGGAGCCTAAGAAAACCCCTGCAAAACTGAGCACAAGGGAGGCAGAGTTTAAGGCCAGCTTGGACTACACAGTGAGACCCTGTATCAAAAAGAAGTTTTTTTGTTTTTTTTTTTAAAAAAAATTCTCTATCAAGTCTCCAGGCCTCCTCACCTTTTGGGCTACTGGTGATATTTGCACTGAGAGAAGATGGGCTCTTGCTCAGGAACATATCCTCTTCTCCTGCTGAGTTCTGGGCATCCACTTTCTTCACTTCTGCTGGAACGCTTGGCTCAGAGAGGTCATCCCCCTGGGATGTGAGTGGTTTATGCTGGCAGAGAGCTGGGTCTCTTGGTACCAAAAACGCACTAGGGTCAAAACTTTCACGAGGAAATTTAACAATTTTCTGTGATTTTATCCACCGACCATTTACAAACTGAAATCGTTTAAGGTGAATAATCTGGAGAAGAAAATGTAGGAAACATCTGCATTGAAGGATTCTGAAGATACAGAATTTCCACTCAAGAAAAACAAATAGGTCTAATACATATGAATGGTCAACAACATATAACATTTAGCCTCCATTATTCTTTAAAGATTTCAAAATACGTTTTTCATAAATGCATTCATGTGATGGTTATATAAGAATGTACAATTGTCAAATTTCATCAAACTGGACATTTAAAATCTATGCATTTAGCTGCATATTAATTATACCTTAATTTAAAAAGTCTCTGGACCTAATGGTCCCAAGTCAGCCCCAGTCTTCTTCCCTTTCCCTTCTTACATTTCTGGGGCTAGATAAAACAATGCTTGGGAAGCAAAATATCCTAGTACAGGGCTGGCAGCATGGCTCAAGTGGTAGAGTGCCTGCTTAGAAAGTGCGAGGCCTAGAGTTCAAACCCCAGTACTGCCAAAAAGTAACAACAAAAATATCCTAGTATTGCTGCGTATGTAGCTCCATAGCAGAGTGTTTGCATGAGGGCCTGGGTTCAATTCCCAGTATGACACCCCACCACCAAAAAAAAGGTAATTTCACCTATAAGGAAAATTCTTTCTGAAATGATCACTTCAAACTCTCCTGATAGGCAACAGGAAAGACTCCTAATCCATGAAGGAAGAAGTAAACCAAATCTAAAATAAAAGAATATATAAATTCTTGTGCATTGGTGTGCTTGTACATACACACTCATCTCAGCAGTGTGCCTGGCTATATGACCATGCTCAATGGGCATGAGAAGCTCCAGGCTCGGTTGCTCTCCCATAATATAAGGATTATCCTAAAGCTTCCTCTGTCCTTTCACCCAGAAGTGCTTTCATCCTCTTCTGAAGTTCAAATTCACTAGGTTATACCACTTGTGGCACTTCTCATGTTGTGATGGATTGGGGTTATTGGCCTGTATGACTTCTCTTTCCTTCCAGGCTGTAAGCGCTTCAGGAAAGGAAATACCAAATATTTTTAGATTTATCTCTCTCTGTGCCCAACATAAAAGCCTTGCACAGTTTATAAAAAAGTGTTTTAAACACTACTATAGAAATCATCTTATTCTCAAAAATAACAAAAACTCCTGTTTATGGCTTCTTTCAGTTACACTACATTCTTGCTTTCTAAGAGGCAGGACTATAACATACCAGGATGGGGGGAAGCCTCCAGAGATCCAGCTTCTTGGTTGCCAAGCAGTGGATCTTACACTTGGAACAGTAGTACATCTCATTTTCCCCTAGCTCCTCCTCACTGGTGAAAGCTCGGAGACAGCTATCCAGGTTGATGGGCTCAGCTTGTGCTCGCCGACTCTGCTCCACACTCTCATGCTCGTCTACAACCTGCAGGGAGATGTGGAAGGCATTTAAAATGGTCACCTAGGTATGCATTATCTTCTCACTCACTCTTACAGGAAAAAGAAGTATGACCCAAACTAGAGTCTTTTAGTAAGGACAGTGCCTATCATTTATTCACAATTATCAGTTCTATTATGTCCTGGATAAAATTTCCATTTATGTGACCATAGTTCTTCCTAAAATATTTTTGAATCTTTTGAAATGATAAAAACGAAAGCAATCAAGGAATTGCCTGTTTATTTAATAATTTCAGAATCCTAAAACAGTTTATATGTGAATTAGCCCTTAAGCTAGGGGCACTAAGAATGAATAAGCTATTTTTTTAATCAGAAAGACAGCATTATTAGTATGCTGCAGGCTTTTACAGAGGCTAGGAGAAATAATATCACTGAAACACAGATGTCAGACCTGGATGAAATAAGAAAGGATACATAAAAGCACACACTGAGAAAACAATAACCAGATATTAAACCCTATTAATATATAACTCATTTGCATATTGGCACATATATCACAGACTGATCACAACACTGGGTGTATCATTATCTGTCTCCTGCCTCTTTCTGGGGTACCTTTTTGGGGTGAATACTGGGGATTGAACCCAGGGCCTCAAGCATGCGAGGCAGGCTCTCTACCACTGAGCTGCAGTTCTAGTTCTATGGGACCTCTAAGATGGAACAAGAGGAAGAACAAGCTTTTAAAAGAAGACCCCCAAATACATGGCCAAACTTGGAATTCTGGTAATCAGCATGCTACACTTTGGAGCAAGAAGGAGGTAATTATAAGAAAGGAGCAGGCGCATGGGACTGGTGGCTCATGCCTGTAATCCTAACTACGTGGGAGGATTGAGGTTCAAGGCCAGCCTGGGCAAATATGTCTTGAGACCCCATCTCCAAAATAAACACAGTAAAATGGACTTGAAGTGTGGCTCAAGCAGTAAGAGCACCAGCTACCTGCTTTGCAAGTGCAAAGACCTGAGTTCAAACTCTAGTCCCACAAAAAAACACAAGCAAGCCATGACTGGAGGTTTGGCTTAGTGACAGGAGGGTACTTGCCTAACACGCCTGAGGTCCTGAGTTCAATTACCAGCACTACAAGGAAAACAAACAAAAGAAAAGCAACAACAACAAAACACAACAAAAAAGGAGAGGAGAAAGGGGGGGTGTATTGGGAGTAGAGGGGGGTGAGGTGTGGTGGAGTAGATCAAGGATAGACCTAGAATGTAACAGTAAGAGATAATTTTTAGTGGTACAAGACCAGACAGAGTTGGGCACTGGTGGCTCATGCCTGTAATCCTAGATACTCAGGAGGCAAAGATCAGGTTTGTGGTTTGACAAATAGTTCTCAAGACCCTATCTTGAAAAACCCTTCACAAAAATAGGGCTGGTGGAGTGGCTCAAGGTGAAGACCCTGAGTTCAAGCCCCAGTGTTGCAAAAAAAAAAAAAAAAACCAAAGAAAAGAAAAAAAACCAGACTGGGCATTAAAGTTCATGAGTACCTAATTTAAAGACCCCATCTCAAATTAAGAAAAAGCTGAGTGGTGTGGTATGTGCCTGTCATCCCAGCTACACAGGAGGTATAAACAGGAGGATTGCAGGAGGCCCTATTCCAAAAATAACTAAGTAAAAAGGGATGGGGGCATGGCTCAAGTGGTAGAGTGCATGCTGAGCAAGTACAAGGTCTGGAGTTCAAACCCCAATACTGTCAAACAAACCTGATTTTTTTTTCTGCTCTCCCATTCCTGGCTACTACCACCTGATAAGCAATCCAGAATCATGGAACTGAGATCCCTCTGTTTGTTTCTACTATGTATGAGGAGGTGGGAGAGGCCTAGCATCAGGAATATGAAGGTTACTTGAGACTTCACCCAGGGATACTGATATTTTTCTTCAAGGCAGAGGCTAGACTCCAAGCCCAACAATGACTGCTTCTCTTTCTGGCAAAGGTCACACATATGTCCATCAATCCATTTATTGCTCCCCCCGCTACCCCCTTCCCCTCCCCCACCACTCCCCTCCCCCCCACCCTGCCGCTGACTCTGTGGTGAACTGCTTATCTTCACCTGAGGCAATTTCCTGTATGTTTCTCTTACTGAAACTCATGGGAACATTGGCCTGCTTGGGTTACAAACTGGCACAGCCTAGTTCATTTTGTTTAAAATAGATTTTCAGGTGAGACTTTTTCCATATGGGAGAAGATGGCTGAGTCACAAGGCTGTCAAGTGCCCCAATAAACTATCAAAGTTAGAACTAATCTATACAATTAAGGTGTTAGAATTGCATCACCATCTGGTCTAAAGAACTCACTTAAAAAGAGGAACTTAGGGGAAAATTCTGTTTTTCAAAAAGGAAATCTGGCATGACCTTGGGTCACTAACTTCTGAGCAGTAAGACACTTACTCTCAGTATGTTTTTTTTGTTGTTGTTGGTTTTTGTTTTGTTTTTGAGATAGGGTATTGCTATGTAGTCCAGGCTAGCCTCAATCTCATGATCCTCCTTGCCTATGCCCTCTGAGTATTGGGATTATAGGTGTAAGCCACCATGCCTGGCTCTCTTAGTATCTTTTGAGCTGGTCACTTAAGGGAAAAATGGACAGGCTTAAAAGGAAACGTTCTATATCAGGGTTGTGAGCATGAGCAGAAACACAGGTATATCAAATGCAGCAGTGTCTTTCATAGCCAGTTAAATATTATCTCTATTCTCCCTAACAGAGATGCTTTATCACCAACCACAAATTACAGTAGGCTAGTAAAAGAATGTTGATTTTTATTGACTATATTTTCTTTGGACCATAGGTTATAGAGGAAGGTGGGGACCGGGAAAAAGGAAGATTGATAAAAACATATTTTTAAACTGACAATAATTTATACTTATCAACAAAATTTTCCTAAATGATAAAGGTTTCACTTACTTCTTGGGATTCATGCTCAGATCCTCTACTGTTGTTCAATTATTCTAAATTATTTATTTCTTATAGATACCCTCTTCAAAACTGTAAAAAGGCGGGGAAATCTTTAGCATTCTCTCTCTCTCTCTTTTTTTTTTTGGGTGGTACTGGGATTTGAATTCAAGTCTCAAGTTTGCTAGGCAGGCGATGTACTACCTGAGAAACTCTGCCAGCCCACCTTTTATATTCTTAATACAAAGGCAACTACTGTTAAAATACTGACAGATTTTCTTCTAATGAATATACCACATTGTATTTATTTAACTATTCCTCCAATATGGGACAAACACAAATTGTTTCTAATTTTTTACTATTTAAAAAAACTGCTAAGGCTGGCAGAGACTTAAGTGGTAGAGCACCTTCCTAAAAACAAAATAGGATACTCTGATGGACAGAGTGTCCTATTTCCCCAGGATAAATTTCTCTGAAGGATATTACTGAAATAAAAAATATAAAGCATATGGGCAATAATCTCAATTTTGAACCCTATTTTCTCTTTTGTCCACATGATTCTCTAAGAACATGCAGAAACCACATGTAGGAACAGTTCAGATTAATCATGCCCCAGCAAGGCAGGGCATCTCAATAGTTCCTAATTTCCATGGTATCCTAGATTTAACAGGTCACATTGGTCCTTTTTCCTGTAAGTGGGATGTTCTCCAGAGATTTTCAGATTGCACACTGGGCTTTTTAAAAAGGGCAAGAAATTTACAGAGTAAATAATTTTTTTTGATAGGAATGTCTTATCAAACTAATGTCCTGTCAGATTTTATGCTGACAAAGACTTAGGAGTCTATCAATTGCCAAAATTTTACCTCTTCAGGGGAAACATTTCTGAGGTTTCTGAATTGCCTTCATGATCTAGATTATTGGTATCTCTTCAGTTTTTCTTTGGCTTTTAGTCTAGTGATCTTTCATTTGGAAAGAATCCACAGATTATTCTTAGCTAGAATGAGCTGCTAGGACTCTTAGAGTATACAGGGGCACAATTAAGGATCCAAACAGAGAAATAGGTCTAGAACTGGTAGCTTTCCCTTCCTCAATAGCATAAAGTGATTATGTTTTGGTCATACTGGGGTTTGAACTCAATGCCTTGAACTTGGTAGACAAGCACTTTACCACTTGAACCACCCCTCAGTACTGAAACTCAATTAGGATTATTAACTTATATAAATGGAAATGTTTTTCAGGGCTGACTTGAGTGGCTCAGGTGGCAGAGTGGCTGCCTACCAAGTGTGAGGCCTTGAGTTTAAACCCCAGTTCTGCAAAAAAAAAAAAAAAAAAAAGTGTTTTTTAGAAATAATGTTTTTTCTTTTTTTAGAAATTTGTAATAATCAAGAGCCGTATCAATGCAAAACCCATTACAATTCTTTATGTGATTTAAGAAACTCCTATGATTCAGTTGCTTCTACTTCTCTATCAGATTCTTCTGTTTTCCTTTGGCAATGTTGGTGATCAAGCTCAAGGCTTTGTGCATGCCAGGCAAGCTCTCTACCACTGAACTAAATCCTCAGTCTGTTTGGTGGGAATCCAACCCATGGCCTCCTGCCAAGTACTCTACCACTGAGCTAACCCCTAGTCCTATTTTTTTTTTTTTAAATGTTCTTCAGTAGATTTTTCAAAATAAAAAAAATTGCTCTGGCCAGAGAGTGGCAGTAGAGGAATGCACAGTGTGAAGGACAGCCACTGAAATGAACATGTTTGGATATTACAGACTTGAAACATTTCAAGCCCTTTTCTAATTTTTCTATTCACTATGCATTAAAGGAAGCAGTTATAGCCTTGGGATTCATGTGCATTAAGTAACTGGTTATCAAATGCTATAGCTTCAATGATGTTTAACAAATGGGCAGAGAGGTGTTCATTGGTATGTCACGGCCAGAGAATACTTTTTTTTTTTGGTGGAACTGGGATTTGAACTCAGGGCTTTGTGCTTCCAAAGCAGGTGCTCTACTGCTAGAGCCACACTTCCAGTCCATTTTGCTGTCATTATTTTGGAGACAAGGTCCTGCAAACTGTTTGCCTAGGCTGGCTTTGAACTTCTATTTTCCAGATCTCAGCCTCCCAAGTAGCTAGGATTGTAGGTGTGAACCACTGGCACCCAGAAGAATATAACTTCTTACATTCAACTTTGCTCCAAGATTTATTTGTTAATATTTTTCAAATTTAATGCCCCAATATAATTAATTTCTTAAGTTAGAAAACAAAAACAAAACAAAAGCTGGGTGCTGGTGGCTCATGCCTCTACTCAGGAGGCAGAGATCAGGAGGATCACAATTTGAAGTCAGCCCAGGCAAATAGTTCTTGAGACCCTATCTTGAAAAAACCTTCATAAAAATAGGGCTGGTGGAATGGCTCAAGGTGAAGGTCCCGTGTTCAAGCCCCGGTACCACAAAAAAAAAATGGCCAAGAAACCATGTCAGTAGATTGAGTACCATAGAGAATACAATGATTATTTTCCTGGTTGTATTTAAATATTCATGACACAGTTAAAATGGGAAAATTTTCCCATGTAACACTTGCCATTTTATAGAGTGCTTGCCTAGGAAGCTTAAGGCCCTGAATTCAATCCCTAATAGCGAAAAAAACAAAAAACAAACCCAAAAACAAAAACCTAAACCTGAAACCCCATATCTCCCCCACTTATGGTGGCACTAAGTACTTACTCTTTCCTGTGATGTTTGATAGCGCAGGTGAAGAGCTGTGGGGTCCCAATCAACAGCAATATAGGCATTTCCAATGAAAGCTCTGTCTTCCCCACAATCAATTTTACAGCCTCTGCAAAATCTAAAGGGGAGAGGGAAAATCCACAAAAGAAGAAATAATTATAAAGGAATATAAATTTTCTTAATCAGAAATATTCTTCTTCCTTCTTTTCTACTTTCTGCTTAGTTTCAAAATTTGGGATGGGATTCTCATTTCAGACTCTGACAAATGCAGTAATATTTATTTATTTTTTCCTTACTTTTTTTGAAACAAGTTCTTCTATGTAGCCCAGGCTGGCCTTGAACTCAAGGTCCTCCTCCTTCAGTCTCCCCAGTGCTGGGATTATAGATGTGTACTACCATGCCAAGCTGATTATATTTATTAATAATTATGATTTTAAGAAATCATGCTTATCACTTTTCAGTCTTTGTTATATACTACTTGATAAACATTTGTTAACATACCGAAAGATATAAACTTAATGGGAAATAAATGATACGAGACTTGGCTATTTGAGATAATATAGCTCAGAAGACATTCTAAATTCAGTTATATAATGCTCTGAGGTTAAGATAACTTATCTGGTATAACAACACCTATCTCCTTGTTTGTAAAATGGTATGTTAACTAAATATACATATAAATGTCTGGAGTTTCAGGAGAAAGAACATGACAAAGTCATGGTTTCAATGTCTATTTCAGAATCAGTTTGAAAAAAGAAAACAAAAGCAGACTTCCAATAAGGCCTAATAAGTAGAGTATGTTCTACTAGTTCAAAGTTGCCAAACTGATTTATGTTTAAGGAGTAGAAAGTTTAGACTAATAATAGCCGGGCATGGTAGTTAATGCCTACGGTCACAACACTCGAGAGGCTGAGGTCAGAGGATCACTTGAGCTCAGGGGTTTGAGACCAGCCTGGGTAATATAGTGAGACTTTATCTTTAAAAAAAAAATAATTAGGGCTGGAGGTTTGGTTCAAGTGGTAGAGCACTAGCCTAGCAAGTGTGAGGCCATGAGTTTTACTCCAAAAACTCATGAGTTATACCACCAAAAAAAAAAGAAAAGAAAATTAGATATTTATACAATTTCACCTTTCAATGGTGGAATTCTCCAGGCATCAGATATAATAAAGCCTCTTAATTAAAAAAAAAGTTTAGAATAATAAATGTTAATGAATTTCAGGTAGAGTTTGAGTTTGTAAAACCAGCTAAGACTCAAAAGCAAAATTTAGCTGTTGATCTCAAGAGAAGAGATGAATGAACGATTCCTAAGTTTATTTTAAGCTTCTCATTATTCACTATTATGTCTCAAAATTGAAAATCATATGAAAAAGGTACATGTAAATTCTATTTTTAAAGTAGTAACTAAATTCTATTGTTTTCGAAGTAATTCTATTAAAATTTTTATTTTTTGCAGGTCACTTTACCTATACCATGGGCACCAAGCACAGGAGTTTCCATCTTTCTGAACAACTCGTAGAGTGAATGGGTATTGATAGCCCATACTGTCATCACTGAAAGAGAAGAAAACATAAACCAAGTCTAAGAAGCATTTTCTAGTATGAGATCCAACTCCTTTCATTTTCTCTTTTTTTTCTTAGGGTTTGAACTCAGGGCCTCACACTTGCTAGGCAGGCACTCTACCACTTGCTTGAACCACTCTACCAGACCTTTTGTGTGTGTATGTGTATTAAGTATCTTCAAGATAGGGTCCTGCAAACTAATTGCCCAGGCTGGCCTTGAACCATGATCTCTGCCTTGTGAGTAGCTAGGATTACAGGCATGAGCCACCAGTGCCCAGTTTCATCTTTTCTTAAAGTGATCTTAGGAAAAGGCACATGCCATGACAGTGTGCTCATGTTGACAGCCAGGTGCTGCTTATTCTATCCATTGCTGAAGTCCAGTACTATCCATATTAGGCTGTAAACCTGCTTAAAGGAGGCTGCATATACTGGATTGCCAGATGCCTCTAAGAGAGTCCACATAGTCCATGAAAAATTTACAAGATAAACTAATCATGAAATTAAACACTGATTATTTTTCAGCTCTAGTTTTATCAGAGAATTTAATTCACATTATAGTAAAATAACTAGATCTTACCATGACAATAACACTGACATACTATAAGGCTGTATATTTAGAGCCTTCTTTGATTAGATTCCCTCTTTGTAGTACATGTCAGGTACCTACTTTTCCTTTTTTTAATTACTCAAAGGTATAATGTATACACTTTCCTTGGCATATCTTTCAAATACTGTCAATTATGTCAACATAGCCTTAACAGTTCTCCAAATTTGAACAAAATTTGTTAATTCTTGCCTCAACAAGAATCAGTACAATTCATGCATCATATATCCAAATAATCAAGTTGTACAAGTTAAATATATACAATTCCTGGGCTAGGAGTATAGCTCAGTGGTACAGTACATATTTAGCAAGTTCAAGACTCTGGGTTCAATCTCTAGCATCCATACTCTCTCTTCCCCCTCATCATTCTACTCCCCTCCTGTCTTTCTTTCTCTCTCTCTCTTCTCTCTTTCTCTCTCTCTCTCTCTTGCTATTTCTTTTGAGTAAGGTGTCACATTTATGCCTGGGCTTGCCTAGACCTCAATCCTCCTATTTATACTTCCCACATAGCTAGGATGATAAGCTTGTGGCACCACACCCAGCTTTTATTGATTGAGATGGGTCTTGAAAACTTTTTGGACCAGGCTGGCCTCAAAACTGATCTTCCTGATCTTTGGCTCCCTAATAGTTAGGATTACAGGCGTAAGTCACTGTACCTGGCCCAACCTCCAATTATTATTTTCCACAGTTTATAAATCTGGGGGGTGGGGGAGAACCAATGCAAGGGATATAATGTAAAAGCTGTATACTTTACAGCTCATTTGGCAATTAGGAGTAGCTATCATATTGCTGTTAAAAGTAGTTAAAACACCATAAATTAAAACTTCATAATCTGGGTGAGGTGGTACAACACCTGGAATCCCAGCACTCAGGAGACTGAGGCAGGAGGATAATAAGATTGAGGTCAGCCTAGTATACATAGTAAGATCCTGTCTCAAAACAACAACAATAACAACAAAAATGCCCCCCAAACAAACAAAAGACTCACTGTAAAAGTAAAAGTGAGTTTTGTTTCAGGCGTAAGACATGCCCATCTTTTTGCATGACTCCTCTAATAAATGATAAGTGATAGCCCTTGCTGTCCAGTATTATGTCCAAATCAAGTCAACAGTAACTGAGGAATTAAAAGAAAGATCAGGGGACAAAATGATCTTTTGATCACGGGGAGCTGTGCAGCCATTAAGTAAGAATAACTCCCTCCACTCCTTGCTATAGCTGGGATCTTGACTATCTCCCACAAAGGCTCATGTGTTGAAGGCTTGATCCCCAGCCCATGGTGTTATGGGGAGGAAAGGGTTGGAGGAACCTTTAAGAGGTGGGTTAATCTAAATGACGGGAATCACCACATACCTATCAATACTAACACTCAATGTTAGTGGCCTTAATTCCCCCACCAAAAGGCACCGTTTCACAAACTAGATTAAACGGTTGCTTACGCATCTCATTGATAGAAATAAGCACAGGCTAAGGGTGAATGGCTGGAAGATTTACCAAGCCACTGGTCCCCAAAAACAGGCAGGAGTAGCAATACTTATCTTGGACGAAGTAGACTTCAAACTCACACGGATCAAATGAGACAAAGAAGGACATTCCATACTGATAAAAGGGGAAATACACCAAAAGGAAATAACAATTATCAACCTATATGCACCCAACATCAATGCACCCAATTTCATCAAACATACCCCGAAGGACCTACAAACATATATAAACTCCAACACAGTGGTAGTGGGAGACTTTAATACCCCCCTATCACCAAAAGATAGGCCATCCAAACAAAAAATCAATAAAGAAATCCAAGATCTAAAACATACCATAGAGCAAATGGAACTAGTTGATGTCTACTGAACATTTCATCCAACTTCTACACAATATACATTTTTCTCAGCAGCCCATGGAAGCTTCTCCAAAACTGATCATGTTCTAGGGCACAAAGCAAGCCTCAGCAAATATAAGAAAATAGAAATAATACCATGCATTCTATCTGATCATAATGCATTAAAACCAGAACTCAACAACAAAAATAATAACAAAAACACATGCAAGCATCTGGAAACTGAACAACACATTGCTCAGTGACCAATGGGTCATCGATGAAATAAAAGAGGAAATTAAAAGGTTCCTGGAAGTTAATGAAAATGAAAACACAACCTACTGGAACCTATGGGACACAGCAAAGGCAGTCCTGAGAGGAAAGTTTATAGCCATGAGTGCATATATTAAAAAGACAGAAAGATCTCTAATCAATGACCTAATGATATATCTCCAACTCCTAGAAAAACAAGAACAAGCAAATCCCAAAACAAATAGGAGAGAAATAATAAAAATAAGAGCTGAAATCAATGAAATAGAAACAAAAAAAAATACAAAGAATTAATGAAACAAAAAGTTGATTCTTTGAAAAAATAAACAAGATTGACAGACCCCTGGCAAACCTGACTAAAATGAGGAGAGAAAAAACTCAAATCAGTAAAATCAGGAATGCAAAAGGGGAGATAACAACAAATACTATGGAAGTCCAGGATATCATCAGACTACTTTGAGAAGCTATATTCTAATAAATATGAAAATTTTGAAGAAATAGATAGATTTCTAGATACTTAAGATCATCGAAAACTGAACCAAGAGGACATTAATCACCTGAATAGATCAATAACACAAAATGAAACTGAAGCAGCAATCAAGCGTCTCCCAAAAAAGAAAAGTCCAGGACCTGATGGATTCTCTGCAGAATTCTATCAGACATTTAAAGAAGAACTAATACCAACCCTCCTTAAACTGTTCCACGAAACAGAAAGTGAAGGAACACTGCCTAATACATTTTATGAAGCCAGTATTACACTCATCTGAAAGCCAGGCAAAGACACCCTCAAAAAGGAGAACTATAGGCCAATCTCCTTAATGAACATTGATGCAAAAATACTCAATAAAATAATGGCAAACTGAATTCAACAACACATCAAAAAGATCATTCGTCACAACCAAGTTAGCTTCATCCCAGAAATGCAGGGGTGGTTCAACATACGAAAATCAATAAATGTAATACAGCACATTAACAGAAGCAAAGACAAAAACCACTTGACCGTCTCAAGAGATGCAGAAAAAGCCTTTGATAAGATCCAACACCATTGCATGATAAAAGCTCTAAGAAAACTAGGAATAGAAGGAAAGTACCTCAACATTATAAAAGCTATATATGACAAACCTACAGCCAACATTATACTTAATGGGGAAAAACTGAAACCATTCCCTCTAAAATCAGGAACAAGACAAGGATGCCCACTATTTCCACTCCTATTCAACATAGTACTGGAATTCCTAGCCAGAGCAATAAAGCAAGAAGAAGGAATAAAAGGAATACAAATAGGTAAAGAAACTGTCAAACTATCCCTATCTGCAGATGATATGATCCTATACTTTAAAGACCCAAAAAACTCTACCCAAAAACTCCTAGACACCATCAACAGCTATAGCAAGGTAGCAGGATATAAACTCAACATAGAAAAAACATTAGCTTTTTTATACACTAATAATGAACAAACTGAGAAAGAATATATGAAAACAATTCCATTTACAATAGCCTCAAAAAAATAAAATATCTAGGAGTAAACTTAACAAAGGATGTGAATGACCTCTACAAGGAAAACTATACAACTCTGAAGAAAGAGAAAGTGGAGAGATCTCCCATGTTCATGGATAGGTAGAATCAACATAGTAAAAATGGCTATACTATCAAAAGCAATCTACATGTTTAATGCAATTCCCATCAAAATCCCAATGACATTCATCAAAGAGATTGAAAAATCTACCCAAAAATTCATTTGGAAACACAAGAGACCACGAATAGCCAAGGCAATACTCAGCAAAAAGAACAATGCTGGAGGTATCACAATACCCGACTTCAAACTATATTACAAAGCAACAGCAATAAAAACAGCATGGTACTGGCACAAAAACAGACATGAAGACCAATGGAACAGAATAGAAGACCCGGGTATAAATCCACACAACTATACCCAACTTATTTTTGACAAAGGTGCTAAAATATATGATGGAGAAAAGACAGCCTTTTCAACAAAAACTGCTGGGAAAACTGGTTAGCAGTCTGCAAAAAACCGAAACTAGATCTATGTTTATCACTTTGTACTAGTATTAACTCAAAATGGATCAAGGACCTTACTATCAGACCCTGAACTCTAAAGTTGGTACAGGACAGAGAAGGAAACACTTTGGAATTAATAGGTATAGGCAAGGACTTCCTCAATGGAACCCCAGCAGTTCAGCAACCAGGAGAAGGTATAGACAAATGAGACCTTATAAAACTAAAAAGCTTCTGCTCAACAAAAGAAATGGTCTCTAAACTGAAGAGACCACCCACAAAGTGGGAGAAAATATTCGTCAGCTACATATCAGACAAAGGACTGATAACCAGAATATAGAGGAAGCTCAAAAAACTAAACTCTCCCAAAATTAATGAACCAATAAAGAAATGGGCAAGTGAACTAAACAGAACTTTCTCAAAAGAAATTCAAATGGCCAAAAAACACATGAAAAAATGCTCAGCATCTCTAGCTATAAAGGAAATGCAAATTAAAACCACATTAAGATTCCACCTCACCCCTGTTAGAACAGTCATCATTAGAAACACCACCAACAACAGGTGTTGGCGAGGATGTGGGGAAAAAGGAACCCTTATACATGGCTGGTGGGAACGCAAACTAGTACAACTACTGTGGAAAAAAATTTGGAGATTTCTTAAAAATCTAAACATAGACCTGCCATATGATCCAGCAATACCACTTTTGGGGATATACCCAAAGGAATGTGACACAGGTTACTCCAGAGGTACTTGCACACCCATGTTTATTGCAGCACTATTCACAATAGCCAAGTTATAGAAACAGCCAAGATGCCCCACTACTGATGAATGGATTAAGAAAATGTGGTATTTATACACAATGGAATTTTATGCAGCCACGAAGAAGAACGAAATCTTATCATTTGCAAGTAAATGGATGGAAATGGAGAACATCATCCTGAGTGAGGTTAGCCTGGCCCAAAAGACCAAAAATCTTATGTTCTCCCTCATATGCGGACATTAGATCAAGGGCAAACACAACAAGGGTATTGGACTTTGAGCACATGATAAAGCAAGAACACACAAGTGAGATATGAGGACAGGTAAGACACCTAAAAAACTAGATAGCATTTGTTGCCCTCAACACAGAGAAACTAAAGCAGATACTTTAAAGCAACAGAGGCCAATAGGAGAAGGGGACCAGGAACTAGAGAAAAGGTTAGTTCAACAAGAATCAATTTACAATATAACACATGTACATGGAAGGAATGCTAGGAATCTCCCTGTATAGCTATCCTTACCTCAAGTAGCAAAAACCCTTGGTCTTCCTTATTAATGTTTACACTCTCTCTTCAACAAAATTAGTGGTAAGTGCAAAACAGTTTCTGCTTGGAAGCGAGGGGGTGGGGGGAAGGGGGGAGTAATGACCCAAACATTGTATCCACATATGAATAAAATAAATAAATAAATAAATAAACAAATAAATAAAAAGAGGTGGGATATAGTAGAAGCAGTTAAGTCCCTGGGAGCATGTCTTGAATCGGATTTTGGGACCCTGGCCCTTTCTTCTTCCTCTGCTTCCTGACTACCATGAGGTCAGCAGCTTGTTTACTGCATTTTCTCACCATGATGTATACCACTTTACCATGGGCCCCTCAAAATGAGACCACTGACCATGGATCGAAACCTCCAGAATTATGAGCCACAATAAATTTTTTTAACAATCCCCTCTTTTGTTTTTCAGTGCTAGAGGGCCAATCCAGGGCCTTGTGCCTGCTACACAAGTGCCATACGTCTAGCCCTTGTTTTTTTTTGAGACAGGGTCTTGCTATGTAGCGAAGGCTTGCCTAAAACTAATGATCCTCTTGTTTTTGCCTCCTGAGTGCTGGAATTACAGTCACCACACCTAGCTAAATCTTGCCTTTTTTAACTTGGTTTTTGTAGGTTTTGATTATGATGACCTACCCCCTTCTAATTCCTGAACCCTGGCTCTCTGATCTATTTTCTATGAATTTATTATAGCTACTTCATAAAAGTAAAATCTTACAATATTTGTCACTCTGTGTTTGACTTATTTCATTAGCAGACGTGATAAATCAAATTTCACCCACATGAAATGTATCAGCCCTTTGCCCCTTCTGCCCTCGCTTTTTTTTAATAGTGTGGTTTGAACTCAGGACCTTGTGCTTGCTGGACAGGTGCTCTACTACTTGAGTCATGTCCCTATCCCTTTTTGTTTTTGGTTATTTTTCAGATATGGTCTTGCTTTTTTTTTTTTTTTTTTAAATCAGGTCCACCTGGATAGCAATCCTACACTTACATCTCTCACACAGCTGTGATTACAGACTCACATTACCACACCAAGATTTTTGTTGAGATGGGGTCTTATCAACTTCCTTCCTGAGCCTTAGCTCTTCCTCCTGAGTAGCTGGGATTATAGGTGTGACCTGAGCCACTAGAGTGGGGCTCTCATTCCTTTTGATGGCTGAATAATGTTCTATTATACTGCATTTTCTTTATACATTCATCTGTTGATAGACATTTGAATTGTTTCTAATTTTTGGCTACTATGAAACCACTAGATTTGTATGATGGAAATCAAAGGCATTTTTATTATTTCATCTACAAATATTTCAGTGAGTTTTTCTAAAAGACACATTCATTCTTTTTATTTTTGGGATTTTCTTCTCTTTTATATGTTCTAGGGTTTGAACTCAGGGCTTCAAGCTTGCTATGTAGGACCCCCCAGTCCTTTTTGTTTTAGTTATTTTTCAACTAGGGTCTTGTATTTATGCTCAGGCTGGCCTGGATATCAATTCTCCTATATACTTCCTGTGTAGCTAGGATGACAGGCACATACCACCATACCCAGCTTTTATATTGGTTGAGATGGGATCTTGCAGACTTTTTGCATGGGCTGGCCTCGAACCACAATCGTCCTAATCTCTGCTTACTAAGTAACTAGGATTACAGGTGAGAACATCATGCCTGGATCAAGTTTCAATGGCTGTAGGATTAAAACATTCTCTCTTTAACCCACTCCAATTCCATGTTGTCATCTATACTACTTCACTAAAACAGATATGACAAATGTCATCAAAGACTTCCATTTTATGAAAGGCAGTGGGCAATATTCATTCCTCTTCTCAATCAATTTCTCTGACTTGAAACAACTTCTTCCTAGAAGCACTTTCTTCACTTAACCTTTGGTTGACCAGTCATTCCTGATTACCTTTACATTACTGGCTGCTCCTTCCTCTTTTCAACCTTTAAAGTTTGAAATGCAACAGGAATTAGATCTTTTACATTTTCTCTATCTAACTCTCATTCTCTTAAGTGAGACCATCTCATCTCAGGGCTTTAAATACCAATTATTTGTTGTAACACCTATATTTATATTTCCAGCAAAGGATATTCAAGTGAATTTCCCACTAAAATGTAGTAACAGATATCCTGAACTTAACTTCATTTTTGTTCTTTGTTGTCAAGACTGTTCCTTCTTTCATTTGCTTTTTTTTGGTGGTACAAGGTTTGAACTCAGGATCTCACACTTGCTACACAGGCACTCTACCATCTAAGCCACTCCGCCAGCCCTTTTTTTATGTTGGGTATTTTTCGAGAAAGGGTCTCGAATTATTTGCCTGGGCTGGCTCGAACCGAGATCCTCCAGATCTCTGCCTCCTGAGTAGTCAGAATTACAGGTGCGAGCCGCCAGCGCTTGGCCTATTTTTATCTTTTCATAAAATGGTACCCCAATTCTTAAACAACTTCTCAGGCTGAAAACCTACCCTGGACTTCTCTTTCTCTCATAATCCACATCCAATTTGTGAGAAAAATTCATCGAAGTCCTCACTTAAAAGTCTTTTAATTTAAATTTACCTTAAATTTAATCTTACCCAAATGTCACTTCTGTTAAAACACATTCATGAATTAAATTGCTCATCACTTATCTGCAGTTTTTCTTTAAGTTTAATTTACCGCAAGCTCTTATCCTAATCATCAAAAGACAGTAACTGTAACAAACATAACTTTTTACTCAGTTATTACAGAAGCAGAACTGATACCATGATAGTAAGAAAATGATTTTTGGTTCAATTCAGGTATCAATGAGACACCACAATCCCAATGATTATTCAAAGTGAATCCCTTTACTAATCCAATAGTGGCAGGAGGAAAGAAAACAGAAAATGTTTATCTTTACCTAGATTTGTGAAATTATTCCATGTTGAAATAACAGTATGAAAATAATCCAGCTGAATAATACGTTAAGGCATGAGACTTTTCCATAGTTAGCAAGAGATCAGAGAATGAAAGAAGTATCAGACACTGGACATGTAGACGAAGAAAAGGTAGCTGTATGGACTCTCCTACTCAAAATACTAAACTAAACAGTTATATGTTCTCTCTGAATGTTTTTTTTTTTTTCCCCAGCACTGGGTTTTGAACTCAAGGTCTCATGCTCTTACCGTGTAAGTCACTCCACCAGCCCTTTTTGTGATGGGTTTTTTTGAGATAGGGTCTTGTGAACTATTTGCCCAGGGCTGACTTCAAACCATGATCCTCCTGATCTTTGCCTCCTGAGTACCTAGGATTACAGGACCATGCCACCGGCACCCGGCTGAATGACTCTTTTAAAAGAGTGATTAACTTGACATAGAATGGGTTCTATATATCATAAGTAAATCATATAAATTATTCTTCAAGAGTTTGGAAAGCACAAGTTGAGGCAAATCCCATGAACTTACCAATCCTGAGCATGATTACTAGCTTCCTGAGGTGGGAGTGGGCTGGCTAATCGAGATACTTGAATCCAAACTGCATCATATAGATCTTTCTTTCGGGTATGCACAGTGCATGGAACAATTAGTGGCATTCCAAAGAGGCTGGGTCGATTCTTCTGAGATGACAGGAAATATAGTTCTGTCCTCATCTATATGTACAAATAAGAGAGAGAGCTGAAAAGATAGGTCTCTGATTCTCCCAAAGCTGCAAATGACATGCATTAACCATCGATTTCCAAATTAGTTATTACCACACTCTTCTCTTTATTTATGGACTCATCTTTATTAACATGAAGAGCATGGCTATTTAAAGTGGAGCCATTCAAAGGTTTAGGTATTAACTTCAGAGTTACCTATCAAACTTGGATCTCAGTAATTAATATTTACAAGTTATAGTTTTCTCTGGCAAACACTTCTCATACACAGTGAGTAAAACCTAACAACAGTTTCATAGTTCAAGATTTTTAAATAATTAAAACACATTCTTTCTCTAAAAGCATGCCAGCAAAAAAAATTCCCTCAAAATACAATTTTCTAAGTCAGTTTCTAAGTGATTGTTAGTGTGGTGCCTTCAAATTTTTGGCAACTTGTGAAACCCAGTTATTTAATTTCACAACAACTTATCTACTTTCCTAAAAACAACTAAGTGACTTTAATTTTTTTTGTTTTTTAAATAGAATGTTCAAATTTTTAAAAATCTGCTTATACACACTGAATATCCCTTATCCAAAATGTGTGGGACCATAAATCTTTCAGATTTCCTTTTTTTTTTTAAATTCCAGACTTTGGAATATTTGCGTAAGTGTTATTGGGTACTCAGTCTTATTCAGCAAATCTTCAGATTAGGGATACTCAAACTGATATATAGAGACACCTACCACAAAGTACTAGAGTAGAGCTGGACACAGTGGCTCATGCCTGAAATCCTAGCCATTCCTGAAGCGGAGTGGAAAGCTGGATAGAGTAGAGGCTCAAGGCCAGCCTGGGCAAAAAGTTCACAAGACCCTATCTCAACCAATAACTGGGAGTGGTAGTAGGTATTGGGAAGCACAAACAAGAGATCATATCCATGTGACCCTATCTCAATGAAACAACAACCACCACAACAGGATTGAAAATGGGTGCTTAATAAAATGAAAGTTTAGAATCACATAATAGTTGGTGGGAGTTCAAGATTATTCAGAAAGCTGCTGAACACTTGGATATTTAATTCTCTAAGAAGTTTTGCCTTAGTGTAGTAGTTAGAAAAGCTAAATCAACATTTATAATTACACTAGGGGTTAGTCAGCTTTTAAGTAAAAAGTCCCTTCTTTATTTTATATTCTAATTTTATTTTGTCATTATCAAGTTAAACTCAGTTCAAGCACATGATTTGAACTTAAAACCTTACTTCATGTGTCAGTATTATTATACAAGACCCTCAAAAACCTAAACAGAATCAGCTGGGGATGTAGCTCAGTGGTTAAGTGCCTGTTATGCAAAAGGCCCTGGATTCCATCCCTGGTGCTACAAAAAAAACCAAAAAAAAAAAAAAACCCCAAAACCAAAAACACCACCAAAAATTAAAAAAAAAAAAAAACCCAAAAAACCACAACCTAAACAGAGTTCAGTACAAAATAGTTTTTAATTTCAAAACCCAAACAATTTTCATCTTCTTATAGGTAACTTCTTCCACTGTCCTAGAGCTCATCATATTTTCTCAGTTCTTCCCAGAAGCTCGCTCTACTCTCAGTTTTACTGCACAGGAATTTTCTTTTGTCCTTTCCTATCAAATTCAACTTAATCAAACTGTGCCAAGTTCCTACCCTATTTCTCTGATTATACTGCCAAACTATTTTTAGTTTTCATTCTTTCTGAGTTCTCCAACCACTTAAAAAAATGACTCATCATTTAGTTGTGTCAAAATATTGTTTTCCTGTTTCTCCATTTGCCTCTATCAGTATTTTTGCCTATGCTGTCTTGTCTATTCTTCTGTTACTACCTCGTCAAAAAGAGTACAAGAAAAATAAATGGCTTTCAAAGTAATGCCACCATAACATCAAAAGGGCTTGAAAGGTGGCAATGAAAATAAAGAAGAAATGGCAAATCCAAGCAGTATCTTAAAAGAAGAAATTAAAGGGCACAGTGATATACTGAATATAAAGTTTTTTAGAAGGGAAAAATAATCTAAGAACACTTTCAGATTTTAACCTGAAATGAAAGAATGGTGTAGCCTCCAACAGAAATAATGGGAAAGAAAGATGATTTGGGACAGACAGTAAAATCAATGTTAACATTCCCAAAAGCAAATGGCTAAATTGTGAGTGAAACTGGAAATATGGGATTAGCCAAAATGTGAAATTTTTAGAGGCAACAGTATGAGTTTCTGATTCAATAATTATAAAATTGTGTGCATAATGCTTTAGCACTTATCAAGCATACTATTTAATATTACACATACATGGTCATAATTGAAGGAAGCTATTTTCTAAAAAAGACAAAAAAAGTACAGAGTGTTTTATCTATATATAGATATATAATCAAATGATGTTTGGTAAAACATAGAGATGGGGAAACACAGAAACCCCAATTTTTAGGTGCTGGGACTAGGTAGAGCTGTGCTAACAACTCTAAGTCACAAGTGTATCCTCAATTCTCTAGAATGTCTACTCATAACACCTATGTAGAACATGGTTCACAGAAGAGCATCCACATGTTCAGAAACTTACTTCAACCCAAGGATACTAATTCAGAGCAGGGAGGCAGGGGGAGGAGAACATTTCAAAGAATTATCACAAAACAGATACCTATATCCATTACCATTGAGCTCAACAAACAGAACACTGCCAGCACTCCAAAGGCCTCCCTCTTGCTCTCTCCAAGCTAGAAATTCTCCCTTTCTCACAAAAGTAACTGTTATTCTGAATGTTATACTAATAATGTCCTTACTTATCTTCAGTTTCTTATATCCTATGCATAAACAAACTGAAAGCACCATTTTATTTTTAAAATTTTTATTTATAAAAAAATCATAATTTATGTTGTCTAACTTTCCATCAAAATTATGTTTCTGAGATTCATTTACGTTGACATAACTAAAAATTCATTAATTTTCCTTGCTGTATAATATCCTATTATATGAATATATATCTCTCAACTTTCTGACCCTTTCTACCACTAATGGACATTCAATGTCCATTTTCAGTTTGGGACATTGCTGATAGTGCTACTACGAATATTCTTGTACATATTTCTTGGTATATATGTATCTATTGGATGGATACCTATGGGAAGAACTGCTTAGTTTTAACTAGAAAACTATTTTCATGTAAGTATCATGTGTAAACCGATTGTACCACTGGAGCTCCTACAAAACTATTTTCAAAGTAGCCGTATTAATTTACTTTCTCATCAGCAGTGTATGAGCGTTCCTGTTGCCTCATTCTTCTTACCAACACCATCTTTAATTTCAGTTATTCTGGTGGATAGGTGGTGATATCATATTATAGTTTTAGTTTATATTCCTTGATTACTATAGTTATTAACTACCTGGATATCTTTTTTGTGAAGTGGCAAACTTTTTTTAAAAATCAAATTGTATTTCTTTTTCTTTTTTGGTGGTACTGGGGTTTGAGCTCAGGGTCCTGTGCTTGCTAGCAGGTCCTTTTTCTTTTCTTTTTTCTTATTGACTTATATAGAGTTCTTTATATTTTCAGATTGAGCCCTTTGTTGGTTTATATGAGTTGTAAACATCTTCTACTTCAAGACTTGCTTTTTTCAATCTCTTAATGGTGTCTTTTGATAAAACTAAAGTTCTTTAACAAAGTCCAGTTTATGAATCTTTTCCTTTATTTTCTGTGTCCTATTTTAGCAGTTTTTCCTTATACCAAATTTGTGATGTTTATCATGTTTCAAGGACTGTTGTGCTGTTTTGCTTTCAGATTTAATTGGGTAGTCCAACCAGAACTGTGGTGAGAAGTGAGGGCTAACTTTCATACAGATATCCAATTGTTTCAGCACCACTTACTGAGAAAACTCTCTCATTGCTCTGCAATGGTATCTTTGTTTCATACACACACGAATCTGTTTTTGAGCTCTCTATTCCATTTCATTATTTGTTTTTTTTCTCACTCCAATATCACATTATTTTAAATATCAGCTTTATAAAATAAGTCTTGATATCTGGTAGCTCAATTTCCCATGCTTTTCTCTTATATAAGACTGTCTCAGTTATTTTTTTGTACTTTGTATTTCTACGTATTAGCATCAGTTTATCAATCACACACAAGAATACAAACATATAGTTAGCAATTTTATTGGGATTGTGTACTGAATCTCTGGATAAGTTTGTGAATAACTGGTATCTTTAGACAGTCTTCCAACATAGATTAAGAAAAAAAAAAAAGAGTATTATCTTCTAATCCCTGAACATAGCCTACTACTTCAAACATTTAAGTTCTTTAATTTGATTTGTATCACTATTTTATTGTTTTCTATATAGATGCCTTGTATATCATTTCTAAAGTTTATGTCTAGGTACATTTCTAGAGATTGTTCTCACCCTAGAGATGACTCACTTTAGTCTACTGAAAGTATTTTCTTTTCCTAATAAACTTTACCATCACTTTCATTAACAACAACAAAAATCTGCAGACAGTAAAAAGTCCTCCCTTCCCCAAAGATATGTTCATGTTCTAAACCCCCAAAATGGAGAATTCAACCTTATTTGGCAAAGGGTGTTTATAGATATAACTAAGTTGAGGATCTTAAGACAAGATCATATTATGTGAGTAGGTCCTAAATCTAATGGCAAGTATTGTTATAAGAGAAAAGCAGAGAAGGAAAAAGGCTATACAAAGAGGTGGGCTTTGTAGTTATGCAGATATAAGATAAGGAATCCCTGTAGTCAGTAGGTAGAAGAGGCAAGGAAGCATTCTCTCCTATAACCTTTGGAGGGAGCACAGCCCTGCTGATACCTTGATTTTGGACTTCTGGCCTCTATACTGTGAAAGAATTTGTTGTATTAAGCCAACAAATTTGTCATGATTTGTTATAGGAAATTAACACAAAACCTTTTTCTAATTTCATTTTCTCTTATTATGTTAACTAATTTTTTTTTTTTTTGGTGGTAGTGCAGGGAATCAAATCTAGGGCATGCTAAGCACACATTGTACTTGACTTTTGTACACTGACCTTGTTTTTCTGTTTAAATGGGAAGGGAATAGTACATTTTATCTAATAAATATAATAAGTAAGATGGGAATAAAAATTGGAGTAAAGTTTTTTTTATATTATATATTTTTTAGTGGCACTGGGGTTTGAACTGAGGACCTGATGCTTGCTAGGCAGGTGCTCTATTCTACCAATTAAGCTACTCCACCAGCCCTAGAGTGATTTTTTTAAAAACTTTTTTTAAAGCAAGCACTCTACTTGCTACACCCACACTCCTAGAATGAATTTTTGACTAGAGGTAGGGGGATAGAAAGCAGCCCCACTCCTTTGTTTTATAAAATGAGGATACTGAAGCCCCAACAGCTTCGAATTATAACCAAAACACAGGTTACTCAATTTCCAGTCCAGTGTCTTTTCTACTGTACTGAGTTGCCACTATACCCTATGACTATCACTTTAACAATTATCAGCTCATCAGTTTTTGAATATTTTTTTTAAGTTAAAGGGTCAGTCTTTAATGAAAGAAGTCAGTTTATCAAGGGAAGAATTATTAAAAACTTGTCAAAAAACATTCTTGTGCCCTCCAAAAACCACACATGAAATAATGACAACTGCTATCAAACCTTTTCCAAAGGCATTCACATTTGTATGGCAAAGATGATGATGTACAGGCCTGTGAGCACATCAACATGTAGGAGACATAATTTTAAAACAAAGTAGTACTCAGATGCACCAGCTATCCTGCTGCCTCTTAATACACAAGTGAGGAATGTCACTCCAAACACTGGCCACAACATATGATATTAAATCCTGGCTCTGGTCACTTACATTAGGACATATAACACACTAAACATGTGTTCAATGAAGACGTTGCAAAAACAGAAAACGGCTGTTTTACAAATGACAGTGACAAGACCAATAGTAAGTTGTTCAACATTTAACTAACCATTTTTCGATGGACTGCAATGATGTATCCTATAAAGGGGTTGTCAGGAAGAGATGGCATATGACTGTTCACAATTCCATTTGTGAAATTCTTCTCAGTTCCACATGGCACAACAGTGTTTGGCATTCCATTGGGGATGAATATTGGTCGAGGCACGTCCCCATTGGTAGTTAGGCTGAACATTCCATTTATAGATGGGGAAGAGGAGAAATCTATAAATTCAAAGATATGTTCATCATCATAAGCTTGGGATACCTTCATCTTTGTTCTTTTCTTAAGTATTTGGAGGACCTGGACCACTGACAGTGTAGTTTCTTTTAACAAAGGACTGGCATAAATTTGTAGTTCAAATAATGATTCTAGATTTTATTGGGAGATTTAAAATTTATATTTTACTTTCATAATGCACACTTATGACTAAATGGCAAAACAAGAGAACTGTTGGAAATTATTATGTAGAATTTTTGAAGAAATCTGTATGAATATCATGTTGTAGCACACAAACAGTTCTACTACTTGCAGAATTTCTCTTTTCCTTTCCTCTAAAATTCTCCATTCCTCTAAAAATGCTCTGTTCATTTCAGCCTCCAGCTAGATGTTACCTTTTAAATTTAAATAAAAATGCGTATCTGTAGTCTCACTAGCAACATTCCAAGTGCTTACAACCCACATGACTGATGGATACTGTATTATGGGGGGCAAAGACCATAGAATGTTTCCATTATTTCAACACTAAATCCCCTACTAACTCACCATTAGTACTACCTACTACATGCTAATGACAAGAGTCTCATTCCCTATGAAACCCTTTACAGCTAAACAATTAACACAATTAAAAGCAGTGATAGAAAAGACAAAGTGTATGAATGGCTAAAAGGACTCACTGAGTAACCATATTAAATCATATGCAATAATTGGATAAACATTCCTATTAAGCTAAATTTATTGTTTGTTTTCTGGTAGTATGTACTACTTGTTACCATATTACAAGAAAGAAAAACAAAGTTAGGGCTGGCAGAGTGGCTCAAGTAGGAGAGCACCTGCATAGAAAGCATGAGGCCCTGAGTTCCAAATTCTGGTATTAAAAAACAAAACAAAAGAAAAAAGAGTTAAAAGATATCTGAATACCAATAGTATATGAGCTAATAACTACCTACTTACTTACTCACTTAGGTTTGCTGAATTTTAGGCTCATCTTCAGAAAGAATTTGAGCCAAATAATTATAGAACTCTTGTAAAAATCTCTATGAATAAAATTAAAGGTTTCTCTGGGTTCAAAAATTCTTTTGCTCTAATATCCTCAGCTCAATAAATATCAAAGATCAGTATAGTGGCTCATGCCTATAATCCCAACTATTTGGGAGGCAGAGATCAAAAGAATCACATTCTGAGCAATAAGTTAGTGAGACCCAATTTCAACCAATAAAAAGCTGGGCATGGTGGCATACATCTGTCATCTCAGATAAAGTGAGAGACATAAATAGGAGGACAGAGGTCAAGTGCAAAATTCTGAGTTTAAACCCTAGTACCACAAAAAAAAAACAAAAAAAAACAAAAAAAACTGAGTTCATGGGGCAAGACTCTAGTAGTACAGGGACTGCCTAACAGGTGTGAGGCCCTGAGTTCAAGCCCCAGTATTGCCAATATAAGTAAATAAATACATAAATGAGCAAGTAAAGCTGAGATTATGAGAAGGAGCTCTCATTTTTAGCATACCTGTCTGTATTGGACTACAAGTTGAAATTGGAGATGCAGGGATAGGAATTTCAAATGCACACAAAAATCCACTCACAGAGAGTCGAACTTTTTGGTTGTCCTGAGGGAAGTTCTATAGAAAAAAAAGCAAGATGCAAAGGGGTAATGTTTTAGCTAAAATGGAAAAATTATCTAGTTGATGTATTTGAAGAGAATGTCTTAGGAACTTTCACAGGTAAAATGATGAATAATTTTCCTTAACTAAGTAAAAGATGAATGCTGGATAAAATAACTGAAAATTCACCTCACTGCCAAAGAAAACAGTAATACTTTTCCATAGGAAGAAGTGTGTTGTGCATGATTCACTTGTGCTCTGTCATGTTTCAAGCATCTGAACCCTAAATGCTCAGAGATCAAATTACGTAAGAAAATGTCAATGAGGTCAGAAACCCCAAAGATTGGGTTTGATGTCCATCCAGCACAACAAGAAAACAGAAATCCCAAGATGGTGTGAACTTGCAAATGCCAGTTACTTGGGAGGCAGAGGTAGGATGATGGCAAGTTAATGGCCAGTGTGGTCAACACAGTGAGACACCCCCTACACCAAACAAAACCAACCCTGATAAAACAAAACACAAACCCCAACAATGAATATATATTACTTATAGTAGAAGCTCAATATAGGGTAGGCAATATATTTATTAGATTATTTCCCAACTGGTATGCAGACAGACTTAATTTGTGTCAATTTGTCTTTATCCTTTAATTTCTTAGCACATAAAAGGTATAACAAATAGTCATCTCTTAGTATCTTCAGAGGATTAGTTCTAGGATACTCTGTACACACCAAAATCTGCAGATGCAAGCCTTTCACATAAAATGGAATAGTACTTGCATATAATCTATGCATAACTTCCAATATACTCTAAATCATCTTTAGATTATTTATAATAGTATCATGTAAATGCTATGTAAAATACTTTCCACCTGTGGTTGGTTGAATCTGAATATGCAGAACCCTCTGATATGGAGGGGTCATGATCACATAATCATAAATACATAAACTAACTAGAAGAATTCCAGTGACAGTTGTTGGGGAAAACCTATACTAAAGAGACACACTAGATCATTCCATATGGACAGCCTTACATTATTTCCCTTCTTCAATAGAAGTGCCACTTTCATTATTACTCCTTTATTCTGGTAGATAATCCTTTTAATTCTCTGGGTTGGAAAATGATACACTTATTTGTTTGGGTTTTGTTATGTTTTACTATCTCCTTGGTTATTTACCCTAAAAATTAATTGATAATAACTGAGAATTGACTCAAAGGCTTCTTAGAAACAGTTATTACCTTTATGTTGGAACCATGTACTTCTGCAAGAAGGATTTGTTCTGATTTAAGTCCACAGAGATCGCTCAGCTGTTTTTTTAAACCTGTGTACTTTTCGTCCATATTCAGTCTTAGTCCGTATCTTACAGGGGTAGTACCATCTAATTTAATTACTAATAAAGAGAAAACATCTTTTATCAGTAAAATGCAGGTTTCACTGAAAGTCTTATACATATAAACAGAAATAGCTAACTTTCAAATAGCAAACATTTCAGCCTAGCATTTTATTTTTCATGTAAGTGTTAAAACAGAACTTAGGGATAATAACTGACTGAAATCAAGATATTTTCACATTATCTGATATGGAAGTAAGTGGCCTTTCAAGGTTTAGCATGTCTGTTACTAAAAGAAGCAGTGACAACCACAAAAATAGGCCCAACATTCCAAATATTTCAAACCCGAAACCTGAATTGCTAGATTTTAACATGCTGACTACTAATTTTTAAGAGAGCTTATTGTATACAAATAACAAATTTGATACAAATTTGAATTACAAATTCAGGAGGGCTGAATAAGGTAAAAGAAATGGAGTAAAATAATTTTTCAAGTTTTTCTGACCCACCTGTTATTTCTAAGTGCATGTAACTGTCCATTGGTAGTGGCAAAGACAGAAAATTGAAAGGGTCAAATCGGACACTTATATGCCCACATGTCTTGCACTTGACTTGGGATCTTAGCTGTCCATGGAACAAATCCACAACTATTGATCTATTTCTCCTCAGATGGTTGTCCCATGCCTAGCAAGGAAAAGATTACTTTTTAAAAAGAAAAGCATTTCTGCCTAGAGTTCAAACTCTAGTTCCCACCCTACCTCCCATGCCCCACCAAAAAGATGAGCATTTCTTTCTTTCTTTTTCTTTTTTTGCAGTACTGGGGCTTGAACTCAGGGCTTTTACCTTGAGCCACTCCACCAGTCCAATTTTTGTGATGGGTTTTTCAAGATAGGGTCTCGCGAATTATTTGCTCAGGCTGGCTCTGATCTCTGCCTCCTGAGTAGCTAGGATTACAGGTATGAGCCACCAATGCCCGGCTAAGATAAGCATTTCTATACAAATCCAGAAACGTTGGTCAAGCATATTAGGTTTACATGTCAAGAATATATAATCCTTAATATTCATTTAAAATATAAGAACCTTAGGGGATGGTGGAGTGGCTCAAGAGGTAAGAGTGCTTGCACAGCAAGTGTGAAACCTAAGTTCAAACCCCAAAAAGAAAAACAAACAAAAAACTTTGCACCTAAAAGGTTATAATTCACCTGTGTAATTTAAAATGTACTGCCTACTAAGACAGTAGAAAAGAAGATATTGAATAGAATGTGTTTCTTTTGAGTAGTCTATAAAATATTAGGTTCAGGGACTAGGTAGTGAACTTGCCTAGCATACATGAGTTCCTGAGTTTCTCACCAGCTCCAGTGAAAATATGTAAGTAATAAACAAATTCAGATGGAAAATTCTATCTTTTATTTGTTCTTACAATGGTGGCAATGGTAAGAATTAGAGTTCTTTGCCCATAAAAAAGCAGATAAATCATGCCCATCAGTCTCTTTAAATTCTGCTAGATAATTATTTCTAAATCCTGTCCCATAAAGCTTATAATGTGAAAAATGCAACATTTTCTATTTTCACTAAAGGAGCTTTTGCTTTGGTATGACTGTATAAGAATTAAACATAGGGCTGGAGGCATGTCTCAAGTGGTAGAATGCCTGACTAGCAAGCATAAGGCCTTGAGTTCAAAGCCCAGTACCACCAAAAAGAAAATAAAAAAGATTAAGACATAGAAATATAAATTCTTAGGCTGGAGTCATGGTTCAAGTGATAAGAGCACCTACCTAGCAAGTGTAAAACCTTGAGTTGAAACCCCAGTACCACCAGAAAAAAAAAAAATTCTTTTGCTTTCACAGTAAAATTCTGATCACAGAACTGTTTAGTTTGCATTGACATTGTACCTCGTATCTTTGTGACCACAGCATTTTATCTATTGCTCATACCAGAAACACAAAACCGACAAACCTCTGCAGCTACTTCCCAGTCTGGTCGGCCATCACTGTCCTTCAGTTCCACATATGGCTTCTCATGGACTCGGTTGAGATCTTCATGAAGACCATCCAAGAGGAAAGCCAGAAGTTCCTGTGAATCTTGCTGTTGGAATCCGTTAAACCTGGGAGCATATTTTGCTATGGTCCACTATAAGTATGAGGATAATAGTCATTATTTCCTACACCATAAAATTTGGAATGTAAATGCTCCATAATTCAATTACAGACCATAAAAAAATAAATACCACAGTATTTAGTCTGCCTCTATTTCAGCAAATGTATTTTGGATAATCATTTAATCTTTCTAATCTTAATCTCAAATGACAAAAAAAAAGAGAAGAACTTTGACTAATACTGTGTCTAGTTCACTATCATATAAGCAAACCAAGTTCTTTAGGCATATAAATGTTATTTAAGACAAATAGTAAAATGGGGTAAATTTAACTATGCTATATTGTAAGAACTTTTGTAAATGTCACAATGTACTCTAGGTACGGTAAAAATATGATTAAAAATTAGCAAAACAGCATTTGTTCACACTGAAAGACTTCCTAGTCTATGTAAATGTTTTCTTCCATACTTACTTTTTCTGGTGTTGCTGTATTCTAACTTTTATTGTTAGAGGCAAACAGCGTAGTGTTTAACTACGAGAACTTACAAACTTGTAAACTTGGGCAAACTAATCACTGTGAGCCTTAGTTTCCTGGGCCATAAAATGAGGATTAAAAACACTTCATTACAATACAGGGTTATTTGGAGAAATAAATGTTTTAATACAGACAAAGAAAATAGAATAATGTGTAACAAGTGATAAACAAAGTTTTAGCTATTATGATTACTGATTTTAATTTAAAAAGCCCTATGTCTTGTTTTTAAATAAGATAATTCTACCATTAAAATCCACATGTTATTAATATAAAACTTGTGTTCATAGCCAAGCACACTAGTGGCTCACGCCTGTAATCCTAGTTACTCAGAAGGCAGAGATCAGGAGGATCACAGTTCAAAACCAGCCTGGACAAAAAATTCAGGAGACATTATCTTGAAAATACCTAACACAAAAAAGGGCTAGAGGAGTGGCTCAAGTGGTAGAGTGCCTGACTATCAAGCATGAGGCCCTGAGTTCAAACCCTAATACCATCAAAAAAAACCTCTTGTATTCATTAATTATATTCTTTTATCCTGCAACTATTCTATAGCTAGAACTAATCTTAATAATGGCAAAAATGTGTAGATGTAATTAATTAATCTCTGAGGTCCATTGTAGTTAGAATACTGCTAAGACTGAAGAATTACCAGAAAAAGTTTACTCTTCACACAAGTAAGATATCTGATAAATTAGCAAAATAAACCACATTCCAAACTGATTGGACCTGTGGTCTTTTTTTTATCCACTACCTATATAGCAGTAATTTAAATATATTTGAACAAGTACAAGTATTGGACATTTGGTTTATGCCTAGTGAAGGATCCAAAACCACTGATTAAACTTAAAACTAAAAAGCTAAACACAGAGTAAAAAATGATTGCTTAAGTGACTACTTAGGAATTAAATACTTTTATATCATTTTAACCTGCTTACCCGAAGCTTTAGTGGGGCAACATTCTTCTGAGTTCCACTCCAAAGCTCCTGCATTAAATCACCATAGCATTTAGCCATATGCCCCTTCATACCAATGGGATTTGTCCTAGAAATTTAAGAGAAAAATTTGTTGCCAAAGATTCTCAAAAGTTACAACCACATGGGCACAGAAATGCCTAAAATATAGCATTAAAAGTATCTTTAAAAACAAAACAAGGACTGGAGGTATGGCTTGGATGGTAGAGCATCTGCCTTGCAAGCACGATATCCTTAGTTCAAACCCCAGTCCCACAAAAACTGGGAGCGGGTGGGGGAGGGGGCTAGGGAGATAAATGACCCAAACAATGCATGCACATGTGAATGAAAGAATAAAAAAAAAAAAATTGCCCTGTGGCACCATATTCCCTGAAAAAAACAACAAACAAAACCAAGAGAAGGATCCCTTGTACTTTATTTCATATTAAATAGGAAAAGAAAAATTTTCATCCCTAGGGCAAAAGAAGAGTAGATTGAGATGATACTGGATTCAGATCAACGTCATAGAAGGTTAAGTTGCCAGTGGCTCAAAAAAAAGATTACCTGTTGAGTTCATAAAGATGTCTCCCTGAGATAAAATACTGTGTCAGTGGCTGTGTGTTACTAACACACTGGATGCTTGAGTTCATGAAGCACGTGTTTCCCAGGTTACTCAGACCCGTGGCTCCCTTTTCTGTAGGTACTAGAACAAACAATATGAAAACCAAAGCCTAGCTGCAGCAATGTGCTGTAGAACAAATTGACTTGTATGCAATACGGTGATTTTTTTTTTTTTTGAGACAGGGTCTAATTATGTAGTCTAAGCTGGCTTAGAAAAATTATTTTGTTGAGCTGCTGGAGTGGCTCAAGTGGTAGAGCATCTGCCTAGCAAGTGTGAGGATCTTAGTTCAAACTCCAGGACTGTCAAAAACATTAAAATAATAAGAAAAATTATTTTATAATTTATACTATTATATATATGTTTATATAATTTATATACCAGGCATGGCAGTGCACATCTATAATACTGGTATCACAGAGGGAGGAGGATCATGAGTTACAGGCAGCCTGGATTACACAGCAAGTTCCAGACCAGCCTCGGCTCACAGAGGGACCTAGTTTCAAAATAAATAAATAAATAAAATAAAAATTGTAATAATTTATATATTTTTCATTTCTTTATTCCACACAGCTAGTAAGTGAATAATTTATATATATTAAAGACACAGTGGGATAATTGAACACTTTGAAAACAATTAAGAAGAATAATTGCTACCTATGGATTACAATTTAGCATGGATCATCATGATTGCCAAAGATACTCCATGAAAACACTTCTCATTCAAGCCCTAGTACTGCCCAAAAACCCAACAACAACAAAAAAACCTTCTTAACTTTAGCATTTGAAAGACATACTGAGGAAAGATTAGTGTCATTTAGCTGATTAAAAGAGATAATTAAATCACTGCACTGAGAAGCCAGGTGTAGTGGTATACGCCTATAATCCCAGCACTCACAAGGCTGAGGCAGGAAGATCTCAAGTTCAAGGATAGCCTGGACAACATAATGACACTCTGTCTCCAAAAAGGAAAAAAAAAAAAAATCATCTTTAAAATAATATACTGGAGAATTACCTTTGTGTCTATCTATTTTACTACTGTTTGCTATAAAAGACATCTCCTCAGGCAACTCATATCTTTGTTGCGAACTGAAAAGACAGATAGGAATGTGTTAATTTCTTATCCATACAATTCATACCTACTCAATTACCTGAATTTTCTTTTTCTTTTTTTTTTTGAAGACTTATTTTTAAGTCAAAAACTTAAAAAAAAAATCAAGTAAATTTTAGAAAACTGTTCTGAAACCATTTCTCCTCTTTTATTGGGACTTTAGAATCACTTAATGGAATTAATAAACTACTACTTTAATTACCTATTTGAAGCAAAATTATACTTAACTATCTACAGAAGTAATTAAAGATCAGACACAGTGAAATTTCTTAACCTTAAAACATCAGAAATATGACAATTTTTCTTAACTTATGACAACTGTTAGAGTCATCTATTAACCAGCAATGTTTTAATGAATCTTCATGGGAAAAAACACACTAAGTTTTCAATGACATGTATTTGCCAGAATGTGAATATATGTGTGTGAATGTATGAGATGTCAGTATTGATGACTAACAAAAACCTATGCACTACTGTATGAGAAAGCTGGTGTCCTTACTTAAACTCAGGGAGGTATCCTGAAAATTTTAAGGAACTTTTTAAACTTATAACTGAATTTACCTGCTTCTATTCAATTACATCTTTTAAAAGAAGAAAAATAGCATAGTAGATTATAGAAGAGCTCGATGTATTTGCTTTATCATAAAGAATGTAACAGAAAAGAACATAACAAATAACAGTTGGCTTGAGAAAAATTATAAAATGGATTATTAGTAATTCTTTAAAATCTCTTCCTAAAAATCTAATGCAGATACACACATCCATTTTGTACCTTCAATTACCAGGTGTTGTTCATCCTGGATTTTCAAATATTCCAATCTGTGATCCTCATCATCCAGAAGAGTAAGGTAATTCTGTGTAATAAGGAGGAAATGTTTTGGCTAATTTGGCCAGTAAACTTGAAACAAATTCAATAATAAAAATGAATGACAATTAAAAACTTCCTTGCATTTACATAATTCATGTCACAGAAGTCTGGCATATAATAGTTGAAATATTATAGAAATATTCATAATTAAAATGGGAAAATGTTGTCTTTTTAATAAACATTCTCTATGTCCCTAAAATAAAAGTACATATAACCTGGGGGGGACCAGGAGAACATCCATCACATATCAAACAAAAGTTTACTGAGACTTAGGCTTTCTAAAGTGTTTTCAGAAAAAAAAATTTCTTTAGCACCTAGTATGAAACTCAGTAAATATATTGAATGGAACCTGATCATTAAGAACTCAAGATGCAAAATGTCATGCATTTTGTGTTTCTGCTCACACTGTTTAAAGTGCTTCCAAAATTAATTCTCACAACTACCCCGAAGGACATACTATTATTTGTTCATTCACCGATTCAGGCACTAAGTGACTTCTTCCTTCACTAACAACAAAAAAGCGTAGAGTGGGATTTTAACTTCTGGCGGGGGCCAATGAGCTGTGTCTACTTCCTATATGCTCTGCCCTCAAATGGTGACCAAAAGAGGATGTAAAAAAGAATGCATGGGGGAATTCCAATGACATTCATTACAGAGATTGAAAAATCTACCGTTAAATTTATATGGAAACACAAGAGGCCATGATAGTCAAGGCAATACTCGGTCAAAGAACAATGCTGGAGGTAATCAATACCCGACTTCAACTATATTACAAACCATTCAAATAAAAACAGCATGGTATGGCAAAAAACAGACATGAAGACAGTGGAACAGAATAGAGGACCAGATAATGAAACACACAACTAATAACCAACTTGTTTTGACAAGGACTAAAAACTACAATGGAGAAAAGATAGCCTTTCAACAAAAACTGTGGGAAACTGTTAGCAGTCTGCAAAAAATGAAACTAGATCCATGTAATATCACCCCATATAAATTAACCCAAAATTTGATAAGGATCTTAAATAGACTCCAAATCTAAAGTTGGTACAGGAAAGAGTAAGAATCTCTGGGATTAATAGGTATAAGGCAAGAACTTTTCTCAATGAACTCAGCAGCACAGCAACTAAGAGATAGCATAGATAAATGGGACTCATAAACTAAAAAGCTTCTGTCAACAAAGAAATGGTCTCTAAACTGAAGGCACCATCTGTGGGAGAAAATATTGCCAGCTACACATCAGACAAAGGACTGATAACCAGAATATATAGGAACTTAAAAAATTAATTTCCCAAAATTAATGAACCAATAAAGAAATGGGCAAGTGAACTAAACAGAACTTTCTCAAAGAAGAAAATCAAATGGCCAAAAAAACATGAAAAAATGCTCACCATCTCTAGCAATAAAGGAAATGCAATTAAAACCACACTAAGATTCCACCTCCCCCTGTTAGAATAGCCATCATAGCAACACCACTAACAAAGGTGTTGGCGAGGATGTGGGGAAAAAGGAACCCTCTTACACTGCTTGGTGGGAATGTAAACCCACCACTCTGGAAAAAAATTTGGAGGCTACTTAAAAAGCTAAATTGATCTACCATTGATCCAGCAACCACTCATTGGGGATATACCCAGACTGTGACACAGGTTACTCCAGAGGCACCTGTAACCCATGTTTATTGCAGCCTATTCCAATAGCCAACTTATGGAAACAGCCAAGATGCCCCACTACGATGAATGGATTAAGAAAATGTGGTATCTATACAAATGGAATTTTATGGCAGCCATGAAGAAACGCAAAATGTTATCATTTGCTGGTAAATGGATGGAATTGGAGAACATCATTCTGAGTGGCGTTTAGCTGCCCAAAAGACCAAAAATCCTACTGTTCTCCCTCATATGCGGCATAAAGATTAAGGGAAACACAAGGGGGATTGGACTTTGAGCACATGATAAAAGCGAAGCAACAGGGAGGTATGAGGAATGGTAGAACACCTAAACTAGATAGCATGTGTTGCCTCAACGCAGAGAAAATAAAGCAGATACTTTAAAAGCAATGAGGCCATAGGAGAAGGGACGCAGTAAGTAGAGAAAAAGTTAGTCAAAGAAGAATTAACCTAGAAGGTAAAACACACATGCACAGGAAAATCAATGCGAGTCAACTCCTGTATAGTATCCTTATCTAACTGCAAAAACCTTGGTCTTCTATTGTTTGCTCTTTATACTCTCTCTTCACAAAATTAGAGATAAGGGCAAAATATTTCTGCAGGGTAGTGAGGGGATGGGGGAGAGAGGGAGGTTGTGGGGGGATGAGGGAGGGGGTGGGGGCAGGGGGGAGAAATGACCCAAACATTGTATGCACATATGAATAAAAAAAAAAATTTAAAAAACGAGGCCCAAAAAACTAAAGAAAAAAAAATAAAAAGAGCATTAAGTCTGAAGAGAAAAAAAAAAAAAGAATGCATGGGGGGCAGGGAGAGGTATAAAGGAGAGCAGTAGAGGGGATGAATTCAATATGATATTTTGATATTGTAATAATTTTTATAAATGCTACAATGTACCACCCAGCACAACATAAAAATAATAAAAGACATCCGGTTAAGAACACTATTATGATCCAATTTCAGAGTATAATCTATATTGAATATATTGGGAGGAATATATAAGCATTTAACAGTAATTGCTTCTCAGGAGAGTGGAAGATAGGGGTCACTATGTATTTTTTTTAACATGTGTTTAAGCTACTTTAAAATGGATCCAATACAGAATATATTTAGTTAAAAAGTGTATTTGGCTGCGCACCTGTGGCTACACTATAATCCAGTATTCAGGAACAGGTATCAGGAAGATTGAGGTTGGAAGCCAGCTCAGGCAATAGTTCGAAAGACTCTATCTCAAGATACCCAACACAAAACAGGCTGATGGAGTAACTCAAGAGGTAGATAGAACACTTGCTAGCAAGTGTGAGGCCTGGGTACCACCATAAAAAAAAAAATTGTGTATATTTATATTTGCTCTTATCTATAATACAATAGTATCTTCACAAGATGGCACTATCATAAGATAACTGTTATTATTATCTCAGGTGAAAAATATCTTCTTGTATGCCACAATAATTTAAAACTCAAAAGATTTTACTGAGATCCTAGATATGGTTTTTGCATAATATTGGATAGGTAAAAACTGTCATCCTTGTGAAATGTGATTTAACATTTAATCAGACTCTTCATGACTGAGATTGCCTCTTACTCACTATTGTATAGCCACAGGCGCATATCTTCTTCTTTGATGCGCATTTTGAGATAGGTATCATGAATTTCCTTGATGGTCTGCATTCTACTAAAACAGCCTGTATAGGCTAACACCGCTTCAGAGGCGCATTTGGAGACGGTACATTTCCTATGGTTCAGTAAATCACGTAAGGAAAAAGCAGATATTTTAAAAATTACCTTTTTAGTACAGGGAATAATGATGAGAAATGAGAATTACAGACATAATAATTTTATAAATGAAGAGTACTATAAAAACCCTTTAAAAGCAAGTCAGGAGACCAAGTGTCTTAAAGTCTCAATTTGAAAAGAAGAGCAACAAAAGCACAGGGGCTCAATATAGCCATATTTGTATCCAAGAAGATGGGAACATGCTGATAAACAATTGGCATTGATATGTAACTGTTCTTAGTAGGGTCACACTCAATGCAAGGTGAATAAGATTCAGATAAAAAAAGGAGAAGAATGCAGCTCAGTGATAGAGTGCTTGCCCATCACATGCAAGGACTGAGTTTAAAGTTTCAAATATGGGGGAGGGGGGTAAAAGTAGGGAGATAAAATAGGACTGGAATTTGAATTTGAATTTCACAGATACTATTTACCGGGCTGGCTTCAAACATGATTATAGGTGTGAGCCACCAAACCCGGCTTTAATCTATGTTCTTAAATCTGGCTTGATGCCAGTGGCTCATGCTGATTAGCTACTTGAGAGACTGAGATTGAGTTTGAGGCCAGCCAGGCAAATGGTGAGCCACCCCCTGCCCAACTCCAAAATAATCAGACCAAAATGGACTGAAGATGTGGCTCAAGTGGTAGAGTGCCTACTTTGCAAGTGTGAAATCCTGAGTTCAAACCAGTCCATAAAACAAACAAAAAATTGGCTGGACAAAGTGGCTCACGTTTGTAATCTTAAATTCTTGGGAGGTAGAGATCAGTAAGATGGAGGTTTAAGGTCAGCCCAGGCAAAAAGTTAGCAGGACTCTATCTCAACAAAAAGCTTGGCGTGGTGGCACACAACTGCCATCCTAGGTACACAAGAGGCTTAAGTAGGAGGATCAGAGTCCAGGCCAGCCTGGCAAAACATGGGATCCTATCTCAAAAATAACCACCAAAAAAGGCTGGAGTATGGCTCAAGTGGTAGAGTGCCAGCCTACCAAGCATGAAGCCCTCAGTTTAAATCAAAACAGAACAAACAAATTCTTTTGAATTACTAATTCCATCACTTTCAGTCATCAAGTGGTCCAGTTACCTCATGGCAATTATATAGAAAAGAAAATTTTACATAAGATTCAAATTATGGCGCTGTGGCTCACACCTGCAATCCTATCTACTCGGGAGGCAGAGCTCAGGAGGTTCCAGGTCAGCTCAGGCAAAAAGTTCATGTCAAAGGTGGACATGGGGATCAAGCATGAGGCCCTGAGTTCAAATCCCAGTACTGCCAAAAAAATAAAAAGTAGTCGGGCACTGGTGGCTGATGCCTGTAATTCTAGTGCCTCAGGAGGCAGAGATCAGGAGGCTCTCAGTTCAAAGCCAGCCAGGGCAAATAGTTCATGAGACCTATCTCGAAAAAACCTACACATACCCCACACCACAACAAAAGCCCCAGAAGAAGCATACCGATACTATGTTTTCAGAAAGGATTTTTAAAAAAAAAAAGAATCCTAGAGCCTGCCCATCTCAACCAACAAAATCTAGGTATGTTGGTGCACACTGGAAGCATAAATAGAAGGATTGAGGTCTAGGTTGATCCAGCTATAAATGCAAGACCCAATTCCAAAAAAAAAAGGCTAAAAAGCAAAAATAAAAAAAAAGTGATCTTTGCCTATGTCTATGTGAGGTTATATTTTATTGAGCAACCTCAAACTTGACATATCATTATTATAATCACTTGAGGGAACAGTGTACAGTCCAGGTAGTTTTCTACTTTCAGTATAGTTTTTAGTGATTCTTGCCTACTAATGTAGCTGAGAAAAATATTACATCATCTACTTTTTTAGAATCCACTCACTTAAGATCTGAGGAATAATGACTGCTATAACCTTAACTACAGGAACTGGAGTTATGTTAACTGTGGCAAGGTCGGTATACCTCTTACTTTAAAAGGCCTAATAACTGACTACTAAACAGCTGAAATGAATTGTGTATTTGAGAAAGATTAACATTATGTTATGGTAGAACAAAATTCAACCATGATCAAATTTTAAACACATAGCAAAGCAAATCTTCTACTATCAGCAAGCAAAGATAATCCTAAAAGAAAATAAAAGAACATTTCTCCAATTATACATCAGAGGATTAGTCATAAGATACAGCAAGAAAGCATTTTTTATAAAATTCAAAGTGATTAATGATTGATTTCACCACTAATTATAAGTATAAAATTTGAAATTTAAGAACAAATTTGGAGCTCAGAACTATGCAGTTCTAGAATTCAGAAGCATATGCAGTACAGTGTCCATATCAATCTGTCTAAGCCATAATAAGAATATTTGAGTTCTAGGAGGTTTTTACAGCATAGATATTAAGCAGGCAGCCTTATACATAATTTTGTGCTTTTGAGTAACACAGCAAATTACAGAATTTATAGATGCAGCAAAAAAATCTAGGATCAGCACAAGAGTTACAAATACTTACTAAAGCGCACAATGCATCTTCCCTCTCATGTTATTTTTGAAGAGAATAAAAAATATGCTATGGGTGCCATGAAGCAAGGCTGTATACTCTATTCAATGGAAATTATCAAAGAATGTTTCACAGAGAATGTACTTCACTGTTCCTTATTTTTGATGAATCCCCAAAGACAAAGTTTGGGTTAGGCAGGACCGCTGTTTTGCTATAATTCTTTCTAAACAATATTGAAATCTTCATACATTACGCAGTAAAGACATAAAACTAACCCTGTTTGTTTAAGAAGGACTAGTACTCATACAGGGTTGATGGTTAAAAGGTAGTTATTTCCCACTAAGGAATATTAGTTTGTTATAACATTCCAATATTGTTAACACAAGTGAGACCTTGTTTAAATGGATGAATTTATTATTTACTGCTGAAAATAATTTCAAATATTTGTAAGGGAAAAATACAGAAGTATCATTTCATTGTAAATTTAATCCCAGTGAGAAAACCAAAGGAACTTTTTGTATGTATTAAAATGGGAACTTACTTATATGTCATTTTTATAGGCTTGGTGTTTTTCTTTGTTCATTTTTGTGTGGGGGGCTTAGCATTTTTCAAAGTAAACATTCAATTTCATTTGAGAAATATACATTTTCTCTGCATTATCTGTCTCTTATAAGCATTCTTAGCTAACACAAAAAATGTGTCATGGCTTTGCCAAAACAGCACTGAAGGGATTACTTTTACAAATTGATGGAGTTGAAAGGACCAGTTAATGATAGTAGACCACAGCTCAGGGTCTAAGGACAATTTATAATAGCTTACTTCAATGAAAAAGAAGTATAGAAAATCTATTTCTATTTACTGTTTTCATATAAGCTTACAAACTAGAAAAGAAAAATAACTCTTCTCAGTTAGCTACAGGAATTTTTGCCTCTATTCTCATCCGGTTTTGCGCATGACCATAGATCTGAGCCCCACAAATGATTTATTGATTCTACAAAAGCAGATGGGCATGTGGGTTAGTACAGTGGCACCATCTTCGAGCAACATGGTTTTCACTTTTTCTTTATTTTTTAGAAAATGTGTGGTATTCTTGCTGCATTCTTAAGTTACTCTCGGTAAATGTTGAGGAACATTCTCAGGCTCATCATACCCATATTCACCCAGATGTTAGACTGTTGTGTCCGAGTGGCAGGCTGTGTCTAGGAAGAGAAGATAGCGAGGAAATAATTCCAGCTCTGGATGTCTGTCTTGCTATTCTTGATAACTGTTGTGAAAGACAAAAGATGATCATGCTAAAGATGAAACAAGTCTTGATGCTTTAATTTCTGAGATTTTTAAACTAAAATGTTCAACAAACTCATTACCTACATTTCAGCAGACTACTGAAACTGATAAAGTTAAATTCCATAGATTGAAGACTCTCAGGTTCCTAATCCTAAACTCTTCTTCCAAGATTAGAACTCCTTGAGCAGATTTTCTCCCCTTTTATTTTAAAAGCATATAACAGGCTGGTGCGGTAGCTCACACCTTTAATCCTAGAGATCCTAGGCACGATTGGGAGGATAGAAGTTCAAGGTTTGCCCAGGGAGAAAGTTCATGAGACCCCATCTCCACCCATAAAGGCCTGTGTGGTAGTGCGCATGTGTCATCCCAGCCACTTCAGAGGCAGAGGAAGGAATATTTTAATGTGAGGCCTGGAAAAAGTGTGAGACCCTATCAAAACAAACTAAAGCAAAAAGGGGCATGGCTCAAGTAGTAGAGTGCTTGTCTAGCAGCACAAGGCCCTGAGTTCAATTCTGGTACACCAAAAAAACCCAAACAGAACTCTAATGTGGCAGATAAAATAGTCCATTTTACAAAGGAGAAAAATAAGATTTAGAAATCTAGAAAATAACATATCACATTATTTCCTCTGCAGTTATGGAAGATTAAAATAGATCAGCAAGGTCCTAGAAATTAAGTGACTAACTCAAGAACTGTTCCACAGTCACTCTGCAAAGAGGTAAAAAAGAATATCCATCCATCCATGGATATTCTTGATGTGATAAACTCTTGTGGCCAACAAGCAGAAACTTTAAATCCTTAAGTCCTATTTAAATACTAAATACATATAATGACTTTAACTCAAAATCAAAATCAAAAGCTTTATAGCAGACTTTTACGCTCTGTAGAAGTTAACTTACCATGTCTCATCTGTAGACTTTCCTGGTATAAGAAAGTTCTAGTTTAGATACTAAAAAAGAATGTTTCTTTCCTTTTTTTTCTCCAAGACAGGGTCTCACTATGTAGCCCAGGCTGCCTCCAACTTGAGGTACTCCTGCCTTATCCTTCTTTTTTTAACCTCCTGCAGTACTGGGGTTTGAACTCAAAAGCCTCATAATTGTTAGGCAAGTGCTTTACCACTTGAGCCACATGCCAGCCCTTTTTTGCCTGGATTGGTCAGCCTGGACTGTGATCCCTAAACTACACCTCTCGTGTAGCTGCGATTACAGATATACACTACCACTACACTTGTTTGTTGAGATAAGGTCTCACTAACTTTTGCTCAGGATGGCCTTGAATTGCGATCATGAGTCTCTGCCAAGTAGCTTGCATTAAGGCATGAACCACATTGCCCAGTTTTGCTTTAACCATCTGAGTTCTGGGATTACAGTGTGTACTATCATGCCCAGCTAATTCTTAAATTTAGTCAATGACTGTTCTTTTCTGCTTCACATAAGCCATCAATTCCTTAGGCATATTATATCAAATATAGTACGCAATAAATATTAGATGAACGAATGTGAACAAACTGTAATTATTTGTTTTAGTTACTCTGAATAGATTTTGCTACCATTGGGTGAGAACTAATTTGTGGACAGGGAAATTTCATACAGAGAAGTAACAAAAAGACTCTCTTCTATAATGTTCCTTATAGAAGGCACTATAGCTATACTTACAGGTCTAGGAAGGCCAAGTTTGCTCGCATACCAATGATAAATGCTCTCCATACAGTTCTGGGACCATTTCATAATCTCTTCCATGGATCAGCTGGGGAGTTGTTTTAATCGTCCTCCTTCTAATGTTTATGATGTTAGCCTTAGAATGAATGCAAGTATAGATTTTTTAATACTACAAAAATCTCTTGTATGCTAACAAACCTAGATATAAAGAATAATCTTATATATCACTACCAAGCTGCATGTTGCTGAAAACTGAATTTTTCTTTTCTTCTCCTTCCTTATTTGGTGGTGCTGAGGACTGAATCCAGGGTCTTGTGCTCTACCACTGAAGTACATCTCAGCTGAATTTTTTACTTTACCGCAGACTGAACTCAGGCCTTGCACTTGGGAAACTGAATTTATCTACAGATTCTGGGAAAAAAAACTTCCATGTACCTGTGAAACAACATTTCACAATAGCTGTCCTAAGAATAGTATTTCCAAGATCATTATACTACTTCAAATCAAGTATGAAATAATATGTTCACAGAAACGTACTACACAAGGACTTCATCTACAACAGGTTAATTTAAACAAACCACAAAAGCCAGGCATGGGTGGCTCATGCTGTAATCCTAGCTACTTGGGAGGCTGAGAATAGGAGAATCAGAGTAAAAGGGCAGCCTGTGGAAATCATTTTTGAGACCCCATCCTCAAGACAACCTGAGCAAAATGGATTGGAAGTGTGGCTCAAGTGGAGGACCATCTGCTTTCCAAGTGTGAAGCCCTGAGTTCAAACCCATTCCTCACAAAAAAAAGAACCAAGACATTTTGCTATGTGCTAATAACCTTTAAGGTGAAATTTATTGGCAACATGAAAGAGAATAATTTAAGGTTAGCTGTCAAATTACTTACCTTTACTGGTTCGTGAGTTACTAGTGGCTGGTTATCAATAGCTCCTGGTTTCTGAGGATTAAAGTGCAACAAAATATTCCCATTTGCTCCCAGCAAACACTGGTTGTTATTGTCAGAACTGTTATGTTGTCGAGCAAAGACATGTCTGCCCTGGTGTGGCTGAATACAGGAAGCCTATAAGGAAGAAGAGGATGGAATCTCTTATTTTTTTATTATACATAATATTCTTGAAGACAAAATTCAAATGTCTGTGTATTGGGTTAATTGCTGTCATTGGCATATCAGTACAGTTTTAGGTTCTGATAAATCTGTAGAAGATAGGAAGGACATATATTTCCTCTGGACAATAGGTAGGATAGCATTAAGTAGAAATAATAGTTTTCAAAATTTTACCTAATATGATATTTGGCCACTCTAGGATGAGAATTACATGTTCCCTGACAGGAAGAAGAAGTTTTGCTAAGTAGGTGGGCTTTCACGTAGCCTCCCTAAAATTCTTCTACCTGTAAACATATTCAAATATGTTGGTGAACAATAACAGTAGGACGTACTAAATAAAAGGAAGGAGATAAAAAATTCTAACAAAAAATGCTGTTGCTTAATACATCCACTTAAAAGAAAATATGATTCTTTGAAAATAGGAAATATGCACAGAAAAAGATTCATGATGGCTTAAATTATAAACCTCATGATATTTAAAAATATTCAACTCTTTTGATTGATAAATTAATCTCAGGTTAAATGTTCTAGCTATCAATCACTTCATAATCTTCTACTTGGTAGTACAGTCAGCCTTGTGGGCAATAGAATTCTATGGAGAGCATACACCAAACAGAATTTTAGACAGGAATTAAGAAATAATCTGTTTGGGCGCTAAGGGTAACTGCTCAGTGGTAGAATTGGATATATGACACCTGCGTTTAATTCCCAGCATCTAAAGAAAAGAATCTTGCTGTCAAACTATCAGAGTACTTCTAGGACTGCTAAGGATCTTTGTAATAAGAGAAACATGGATTCTACAAAAAGCTTCGAAGGGAAAATGACACCTCTATCAATTTGCTATACGCCTCCATATAAAAGGAGAGAAATGTTCAGAGTGGAAAGAAAATAACGTACAATGAGGGTGCTGCTACTTTATTAGCAGAATAATAGGGATCACCTCAATTCGTTGAATCACAGCAATCCCAAAGCATCTTCCTCAGAGTATATAACCACTAAGTTTTAGGTAAGTATGAAGGACTGAATGCAATTACGGAAAGCAATATAAGTTTACAGTATATCAACAAATAATTCCCCAAATCTGGCTGATGGTGTCCACAAAATCAGATATGAGGGTTCATTCAATCCAAGAGATTCTGAGATGGAAAATTTTTTTTTTCTAAAATCTGCCTTACAAATCTATAAATTTATTGACAGAATATATTTAATAGACTTGGAGAATATATGGCTCAATTAATAGAAACAGTACAAATATTTTCAGGAAGAGATTTAATAAAGTATAATAAAGAAAAGTTTTCATTTGGAAATGTCAATAATTATTCAAGAATTTTTAATTAACCATTTCATTCAAAATTATTTTTGTGATGGAAGCCTAATGCCTACCTACACCACACTATTTGCCAGAATAAGCTAAGAACTACCATGACTAAACATGGGAATTAAGTCATATTTACCGGTGCCTGCGGACTCTGAGGCTTCTGATGCAGTAGAAATGTTTGTTGAAAATTTCTCTTCTTGAGGTATTCACATAATGAGGTACTCCAATTCTGTCTTCACTCTGTTCCATAGGATTACTCTGTCCAAATGAAAATTTTCCTCATTCAAAACAGATGATGGTCAATTACAACAGGGTTGGCATCCTAAAATCACCAAGTCAGATAAGCAGCAAAATTTAATAATCTGACAAAGTTAGCTTTTCAAAAAATGGATATCACAATGATCTATTATTTCATCTCCCTAGGGCTAGCTACAGTCATTTTGAAACTACAGTCATTTTGAAACAATTTTAAATATGTAGCCAAATTTTTAATCTCTTTAAGGAGAAAAGGAGTATGTGTAATATAACTTGGTAAAATAGATTGGGAAAGACTATAAAGGACTACCACATAATTCATTAATGACTGTATTTGTTGGATGACTTTTTTATACTGGAATAGTATTATTATTAAGAAATTAAAAAGGTCACTATGAAAATACAAATATGAAGAAAAAATATTCTGTGTACTCAGATTTCATCATTTAACAATAATCTGTAGTTGATATTTGGATGTGTTTCTAATTTTTTTGTTGTTTATTGTTTTCTGGTAGTACTGGGGTTTTGAAACTTAGGGCCTTATATTTGCTAGGGCAGGCACTCTTATTCAACTTGAGCCACTCTGCCAGTCCTGTTTTGTGTGGGTATTTTAGAGATAGGATCTTGCACAGTATTTTGACTCAGACTGGCTTGAACCACAATCCTCTGATCTCTGCCTTCAGTAGCTAAGAATTATAGCATGAGTCACAGGTACCTGTTATGTCTTTCTTTTCTTATGAGAACAAAGGTCTTCTATGTAAAGTCAGGCTGTCCTCAGATCCTTCTGCCCTTAGCTTCCTGCAGTGCTGGATTACATCATCTGCGACTATGCATGGGTCTTTTAAATTTCCTGTTTTCATTTTTATTTTGAGACAGTGGTCACATTATGTAGCTAGGCTAGCCTCATACCTACCCTGCCTCAGCCTTCCAAGCGCTGAGATTACAGGTGTATCCACCATAACCTGGCTCTGCCCTCTTAATTTTTTTGAGATCAGGGTCTTTGCTATGTAGTCCAGGCCCTGGCCTTGAACTGGCGATCCATCTGCCTCCAGCCTCCCGCAAGAGCTAAATTATAAGCAAGTGCTAGCATGCTGGGCTCCTCTTAATTTCGTATGGCTTAAAAAATACATGTATATGAAAGATAGAGTAGTACAAAGAGTTAAGGCACTCTTCTAATAACAGGCACTAGAACTGCTTTAAAATTGATTGCTAAAAGATCCAGATTAATATATTTTATCGGGTTGCAGATCAAAGAGGAGAAAATAGCTAATAAAATGTTGATCAGTTTGTCTATATTGGCTAACATTAGGGAAGTTATAATTGCTCTAAAAGAAACAAGGGCATTAACTAGGCTATTGATATTAGATGTTTCCTTAGGTTTCAGTTAGTTATTTTGCAAACTGTGACCCACATTCATTTCTCAGTTTTATCTATGACAATTCATGTCAGAGTTTGTTGAACCCCACTGAGTTCTTTTAACCCATGCAACTGTCCATCATCTCAGGTGGGATCCTGTTGCACTGGTTAATCTTTTTAGTCTTTCTCTTTCTTTACAACACTAACGATCTATATTCTCATGGCACCTGCCCCTCTCTTTCTCCTCAAGTTTTATTTTTTCTCTGTTAAGCATCAGAGGAACTTGTTTTGCTTTTATTGACTTCTGGGTCTGTTTTCAGAAAGATGAATTTCTAAATAGGGGAAAGTTTCACCCATTATCAAAGAAGCAAAGACAAATCAGGATATTGTAATGTTTCAAAAAGCAGAAATTTGCTAGCTGGTTGGTATTGAAAGGAAACTAGGTGTTAGGTTGAAATCTAATAATTCACATGAACGATTGTCATTAGATTTTTGGAGGCTGTAGTCTTTGCTCCAGAGATTACATACTATGCAGTAAGTTTTTACAAGGCACAGTGAGTAATACCTTTTTAGACCTGGACAATATAGGCACTTCTGCTTTCCTGATGCTTCAAAACTAGAGCAACTGTCTTGTCATTATCTTCGGTTTTTTTTTTCTATATAGGAAACTGTCTTCTCTCAGTGTCCTAGGTAGGCACTCTACCGCTGAGCCACGCCTCCAGCCCTACTCGTGTCCTCTACTATTTGAAACTTCTTCTCTCACCTCTACCATAATTTTTATTACTCCTTCTAACCTTTTTGACTTTCAGTGAAATACCTAACCTTTTCTTTTCTAAGACAAACTCACTATGTAGCCCAGGCTGGCCTTGAACTTATGATCCCTCTGCCTGAGCCTATCAAGTGCACTATTACAGGCATACATCACTATGCCTGACTACAGGTAACCTTTTCATTCAACTAATCTTAGCACAATTTTCCTTTTATATGTTTAGCAAACCAATGTTACTACAGAATCTTAGAGGAAGACTCTTTTTGATTGTGTTGTCTGTTTCTGACTTCTGTGGAAAATTTTTTTTTGCCCTGAACATCAAGAGCTCTTGTTTTGTTTTTATTGACTTCTGAACCTGAACCTGAATCTGAACCTGAACTATCCTTAACTATCTTAGCAGCCAGCATTTTCAGGAAGACAGGTTTCTAGACATTTAAAGTTTTGCCCATAGTGAGAAATTTTCTTTACTTTCTGAGTCATCGATTCTTAAATGGGCTATAGGGTACTTTAATAAGAGAATTCTGCTTTGAGAAATTTATGATTCCCTTTGAGTAGTATGAATAAATTTATGTGTTCCACAATACAAGTCAGGATTTGCCTGTTTCTTTATCAATGATACTCTTTCACATGTATGCAAGAAGTCTTAAACAACAGCTATGTAAGATTTTATATTTCAGTAGTCTGAAATGCTGATTTTAGAAAAATGGAAGGCACATGAGGTAATGGAATAAGAACTAAGGCAAGTACTGGTTCTTAGCTCCAGAGTTCTGGATAGGGTAATAATATAACTGACTAATACAAACTGTAGGCAATTATAAAACCTAAAGTAATCTCATAGGCTTCACTGGTAAACTTAGAGAGGTGCTTTAAACTACTTTCTAGCTTTAAAGATACATTACATGACAACTAAACAGTAAAATCTGTACATGAGAAATGGCTGTTCCCTTATAGTTCTCAAACAGGAAGACACATGTAGGATGTGATGATAATAAAAAAGATTTCACCATTCTTTGTCATTTAAATGAGTCCTCATTAAAAGAAAAAAAGTTTGGCTCAATAAGAAGGGAAAAGATTGGAAAGATCCTTATGAGCAAAGAAATAATCAAATATTCGGGTTCAAGTGAATCATAGTAAATTTGGGGTAAACCAATCCAAGAAAGGATGGCTGACTTTCCTGTTCCCTTGGTTTCTGATTTTTTTTTACTTAGGTATTTAGGCATCTGAAATGTACAGCACCCTCACAAGACAATTAATAGTGCACATAAGCAAATATGTTGTTTTGTGAAAATACTAAAGATAAGTGATGCCTTAGGTAGGCAGATGAAGCTATGAATAAAATATCCAACACATTAAAAACACTAATTTTTTAAAAAACATGTACTGTTAAGAAATTCAATCACTAACTAATCACTGCTTCCAGTATCATTACTGTTTTTTTTTTTTTGGTTTCTATTTGCCAGGCATAAAGCTAGGTGCTTTCCATATACTAACTCATATAATTGTCAGAATGGCCCTATTGACATAGATATTATTAATTCTACTATGCATATATGGAAACTGAGAATATGTAGATTCCCCCTGATAAATTTTTCCCTTATTATACTCCCTGAATCCCTAGGACACTTCTATTTGTTTATAAAGGACATGCTCTACAACTAAGGACCTCTATTATGCTCTTACAGAAAATAAAAAACCAAAGAAAAAAATCAGATTATTCTTTGAGTCTGTACTTGGTCTGTCATTAATAACCACCTATTCTAAGGCAATACTAAGAATATAATGTCCACACTGTTTCAAAATAAAGACATACTTTACCAACATTCCCATTTTCTACCACACTAAACATTATCTACCTAAAAGATCTCCAAAGTCATCTGCCTACTTTTGTTCCTTCAGATACCAAACTCCATGATTGTCAATTAACATGTTTTTCGTTTGAAAACACATGGACTAGGGGTACAGCTGAGTTTTGTTTGCAGAAACAAAAACAAAACAAAACACCCTTCCCCCTAAGGAAAAAAAAAAAAAACCCACAAACAAACCTATACACATTTGAGAACACACTGAGGAAGAAAGATAAAGTAGATAATGTAAAAAAAAAAAAAATCTATCTACTTGTCATTATTCTGATAGTAAGCAATGACAGAATAGAGGTAAAATATTAATTATTAGAATTTTTATTAGGAATAATTTGGTAAATGAAAGTAAATCTATATACAACTAGCTCTCCATGAATAGAGACATTTTTGATTTCTGTCCTGATTCTTTCCAGTTTTCTAATTCTGAAAAAAACAAAAAAAAGTTTCAAACTGGACTCTAAAATAGTTAGGAATGAGAGAATTTCTTCTTTAACTATTGGGAGCAGTGACAGTTATAAGGACTCTGAGTTTTAACGTTCTTTCTGAAATGAAATTTTTTGGAATGGGAAATTAACACTTCTTTTTTTATTGCCTATTTTCTGTGATGTATTTTTTTAATTTTTAAATATTTTTTATTATTGTTGTACTGTTGTACTGTGACATTTACAAAAGTTCTTACGATATATCATAGTTGAATTTACCCCCTCCATCATTCTCCTTTTCCCTCCTCCTCCATTCCTGGAATAGTTTCAAAAGGTCTCATTTCTCTATTTACATACATGTGTACATGATATTTCCACCATATTGACCCTCCTACACCCTTTCCTTATATCCTCCTCCCACCCACTGGATCAGCCCCCCAGACAAGACCTGCTTTGCCTTCTTACTCTATGTTTTCGAAAGAAATTGACACTTCTTACCCAATAAGTCTTCAGATTTCTTTTTTCTTTTTTTTTGTGGTACTGGGGCTTGAACTCAGGGCCTTCACCTTGAGCCATTCCACCAGCCCTATTTTTTTTGTGAAGGGTTTTTTGATAGGGTCTCATGGAACTATTTGCCCGGGCTGGCTTCAAACGGCAATCCTCCTGATCTCTCTCTCCTGGATAGCTAGGATTACAGGTGTGAGCCACTGGCGCCTGGCTCGTCTTCAGATTTTTAATGGGAAATGTAAACTAATGAAGATCAATGTAAATGCAGTTGAGAGAACACAGACTTTAACATTAGTCCTTAGGTTGGATCTCAAATCTTCTACTCCGAACAAGATATTCAGGTTTGCTTTTCTATCAACACTAAGTTCCTCATAGGAAATATGGGTGTAATATGACCCTTCTCACAGGGATGGAGTGAGCATTAAATGAGATGTGAGGAGCATAATCTATACAGGCACTCCCTATGCCCAGTATTACCTTTCTCACAGGTTGTTGCAAGGGAAGAAATTTATGTGAAAGGGTATGCAGGCCTAGTCCAGGGCAAGTATCATATAAGTATTAATTTCCTTTCTCCTCAAAGCTTTAAGTTGGCACATTTTATTACTGACTAGTAGTCACACAAAGTCTGTTGGAGTTGAAAAAGCTCATGAAAAATGTAGATAAGCAAGAATCAAACTCACGTATTTGACATATTCTTTCCACTGCTGCCACCATTGCATGGAGATGATAAACCAATTGTGTCCTGGCTGCAGACCATACCTGCTTTCTCGTTCTAACCATCCTCTGTACATATAAATGAAATTCAATACATCAAATGAAGCTGTGTAAAACTGAGGACAACACCTGCAACTTATCATTAGAAGTTGTAAAAAGGAAAATCATGAAACAAACACATATACTCAGGAGGGAATGTCAAAATTGTTTCAATTGATAAGCAACTTTAATAGTCATAGGCCACTAATAAATACCAGTTAAAAACAAATCTTGTGGGGGGGGGAGGAGAGGTGGCCCAAACAATGTATACACATGTAAGCAAATGTAAAAATTATTTAAAAAAAAAATCTTGCAATTGCTTTAAGTGGGGTAGGGAAGGGTTGGGGGGAGACGAAAGGCCGATGCAACTAATGTACAATATAAATCTAATTGAATTGTCACTATGAATCCCCCATATATAATAAATATATTCTAATAAAAATTATTTTAAAAATATTATTGAGGAATAGTTTACATAATATGAAATTTACCTGTCGTAAGTATACAATTCAATGACATAAGTAAATCTGTTTATAGATGTGTGCAGCCATTGCCATAATCCAGTTTTAGAACATTGAGAACATTTCAGTCATCCCCAGAAGATCCCCTATGCCCATTTTTAGTTAATTCCTGTTACTACCCTTAATCCCAAGGAACCACTATTTTCTGTAATTTATAGATTTGACATATTCTATTTGAACTATTCATATAAATGGAATGATACAACATATGGTCTTTTACATTTGGCCTTTTCCTTAACATGTTTTTGATGTTCATCTACTCTGTAACAGACATAAGTAGTTTGTGCTTCATTACTGAATAGTATTCCATTGTACTCCACATTTAGAGATGGTATGGTAGTATGCACCTATAGTCCTGGCTACTTGGGCAGCTGAGGCAGGAGGATCATTTGCGCACAAGAATTCAAAGACAATCTTGGCAATACAGCAATATTCTACCTCTCAGAAGAAAAAAAAAAACAAAAGTACCACCACATCTAACAGCTGATGAGCATTTGAAACTGGAAAGCCAACTCCAATTTGACATTTAAGTCAGCAATGTTATGAGTATTCTAGTTTCTCCAAATTGTTGCCAACATTTGTTACTGACAGTCTTTTCTATTATAATCATTCTAATGGGTGCAAAGTGGTATCAAACTGTGATTTCTGGCTGGCTGCTGACGAGGTGATGCATGCCTGTAATCGCAGCTAGTTGGTAGACAGAAATTGGGAGGCTAGCGGTTTGAAGCCAAGCCTGGGCAAAAATGTGAGACTCCATCTCAACAAAAAAGCCAGGCATGGTGGCATTAAATTGTGATCCAAGTTATGCAGGAGGCATAGATAGAAGGATCACAGTCCAAGGCCAGCCCTGGGCAAAAATGTGAGACCATATTAGAAAAACACCCTAGCACTGCACCTCCCCATCCCCAACAAACCAAAACAATATTTTGGAGACAGTCTTGTTTTGTAGCTCAGGCTGACTTTGAATTTTTGATCATCCTGCCCCTTCCAAGTGCTAAGATTATAGCTGTATGCTGCCACACCTGGCTCAAATTGTGCTTTTTTAAAAAAAGTAGTATTTGTTTTTAAGATGAAAACCCTATGACATGAAATTATTTTAAAATATATCTTAAAGTACATAGTGGTATTTAGTACAATGAAAATGTTGTACAACCATAACACTTACTAAATTCCAAACATTTTTATGCACTCCAATCAAACAGTCATACAATTCCCTATTACCTACTTCCCCCAGGCCTTGACATGTATCAGTCTACTTTCTGTACCTATGGATTCACCTATTTTGGATATTTCACACAAATGGAATAACATACAGCCTCTTTTATCTGTCTTCTTTCATTTAGCACGTTTGTGAGGTTTATCCATCCATGTTGTAGCATGTATCAGTACTTCGTTCCTTTTTTTAATTTGGTGGGATAGGTGTTTGAAATCAAGGCTTCCCACTTGCAAAGCAGGTGCTCTACTGCTTGAGCCGCACTTCCTCTTTTTGCTGTGATCATTTTTAGAGATGGGGGGTCTTGCAAATTATTTGCCTGGAGCTGGCCTTACACTGTGATTTTCCTGATCTCTGCCTCCCAAGTGGCTAGGATTACAACTGTGAGCCACCAGTGCTGATGAATACTGCATTCCTTCTTATGGCCCAAAAAATATTTCATAGTATGCATCTACTATTTCTTGTTTTATCTATTCATCTAGGGCATATAGATATTTCATTTTTTTTGGCAACTGTGAATAGTGGCTATGAACACTGTATGCCAGTATTTGAGTAATTATTTTCAATTTCATTGGGTATATACCTAGAAATGGAATTGCTGGGTTACATGGAAAGTCTATGTTGAGGAACCACAAAATTGTATTCCACAGTGGCTATACAATTTTACATTTCTATTTGCAAAATTATAACTATCCTACTAGGTAAGAATTGGAATTTCAATGCAGTTTTAATCTGCATTTCCATAGTAACTAATTATATATCTTTCACATGCTTGATGACCATGCTGTAGAGAAATGAGAATTCAAGTCCATTTTTAGTTCTCTATTTTTTGCTATCGCCCATATTTTCACTTATTACATGAATAACATTTGTAGCAAAAACAAGTAACAAGCTCAACAACTTATTCACACAGATAGGTTTCACTCTGATCCCTTATCCAATTTGGAAAAAAAAGGCCATATTCATCAAAGGAATAAAATTAAAAAACACTTTTCTTTACTATATATAGTATTTTAACTAAACTCCAAGCTATCAGCTGCAAAATCCAGCTACAGGACTCTTGTTTCAACTGACTCTCACATGACTCTATCTTACATTTTAAATTACATTATATTTAAATATAATTAAATATAAATAAATATATTTAAATATATTAAATTTTAAATTATTGATTTATTTGCTCTCTTGGATAAGAAACTGAAAATTTATCTGTGAGAATTATATCCCACAGTAAATACCTAAATACTCACACTGAATTCTTGTGTCATCATCAAGAAACTTAAGCTACTATAAGACATTTTGAGGTAACTTACAGCTTTCACTTTTTGTTGCTGAGATAGGTTCTCATCATGTAACTCAGGCTGGTCTGGAACTTACTGTGTAGTTCAGCCTAGACTTGAACTTGGGATCCTCCCACCTCAGCCTCTCATGCTTGGTATTATATGTTTCTGCCACCATGCCAGGTACAATTCTCACTGTTTAAAAACAGTCTTAGTACTTTGACAGATACTGACAGGATTCTATTCTAAAATTTTAAAGTTAGAATTTAAACTTCTAACACTTCCATACCTAGGTAACAGAATTATGAATATTCAGAATTCTAGATATCACTTAAATTATCATTTCAGAACTATGCCTGATAAATGACATATGAAAAAGAATAATCAGAATTAGCTGAGTTTATATTCCTGAAGCCACCCAGACTTATGTTTAGGCTTTATATTTACAGTATTATCCAGGAGAAATTAAAGAAAAAAGTTACACAAGTGCTATAGTCACTGGTAGTTATAGATCAATTAGACCCCTACCTCTCCGGGTTTGAAGCTATGAAGTTTCTGAGTCTGCTAGTCTAGTCTCTAGGCCTTGGGCACTCAACGGCCCAGAACATCTACTCCTTGCCTACATTCCAGGCAGAGCAAAAGGACCCCAGCCATCTGATTGTTAACATTATCAGGCTTGTATGTTCCTCGTGTTGGTTTCAGTACATCCTATATAATCCATCTTTTCTTAACTACCTTGCCCACAGTAACCTCCACTGCCTCCAACACCTATAGCCATAACCACCCAAGCCATCAGGCATATCATATCTTCCTCTAAAATAACTGCTCCCCAGTTCTACTCTTTCAATAGATCCATATCCTGCTAACTATCCATTCCATCTCTGTGATAACCTCCATTCCAGAACATCCCATTCCAAAGCTGCCTCCAGGAACAGAATTCAAGAAGAGTTCAATATATTGATGTTGCATGTTAATTTCATCATTAGACATGACAGCTACTGAATCTGCTTCTCCTGTTGCTCTGCTATCAGCTCCAATATCAATATGAACTCATACTGGATTTAGTGGTGGGAAGAAATTAGCAATGTTAGGTTCAATTGCATGAAAATGCAACCCTCTCATAAGTACAAAATGACCTCTATCAAAATCTAAACTTGCACCCCCAGCTCCACCACACCCATGTTCTTCCATACTTTTTCTATCTTCATTCTGTTACCAAAGCCTTCATTTCCATAGTCATTATTATCATTATAGCTACCATAGTCATCAAAATCTCCACAGCTTCCATATCCAGTTCTAAAATAAATTCTTCTCCCTCCTGTCAGTCTGTCATATAGTTCTGGTTGCTGTCCCAGAAATCTTCTTGGTGATTATAAAATCTGGTTTTACTCCAGCTATTTTTGAAGTTCTCAATATAACTTAAAAGAAATGAACTACTTCTTCTTTACTATAACCAAATGGCAATCCACAAAACTGTACTATCCCATCACTATTATCATTTGGTTTGAACTCAGGGCCACATGCTTGCTAGGCAGGCACTCTATCAATTGAACGACACCTCTAGCTGGATACAGGATTCTTTGTTACAGGTTTGTTTTGTCTTAGTTTGTTTTAATTTTTGCAGCACTTTAAAAATATTCCTCTCAATTCTAGATTCCATGCTTTTTGGGGTTTTTTTTTGATAAAAATGCCACTAATCTTAATCTAAGAATCTTTCATAGGTGACAAGTAGCTTCTATCTTCCTTTCAAAATTCTGTTTTTGAACAATTTTATTATGTGTGTGGGTGTGGATCTCTTTGAGTTTATCATCTTTGAAGTTCAATGAGATTTTTTTAATGTGGAGGTTGATGTCTTGAATGAATTTGGGGAGTTCTTCACATTTATTTCTTCAAATATTATGCCCCTTTCTTTCTTCTCCTTCTGAGATTCTTATGTACACTGAAGTCTTTGTATGTTAAGTCCATCATCTAGAACTACTTCTGAGATCATTTTTTTTCTTCTTTTATTTTTTTGTTTTTTCTGAGACAGGGTCTTGCTATGTAGGCTAGGCTGGCCTCAACCTTGACATCCTCTTGCCTCAACCTCCTGAGTACTGAGATTACAGGCATGCACCACCGATACCTGGTCTGACGTAATTTCCATTAATTGCTTTTTAATCTCCAATGTGAGTCACAATTTCCTGTTTTACTCCTTATCTCTTTTTTTTCCTGTTAAAAACTGGATACATTTGACAATATATTTTAGCAACTGTGGGTACTAATAATCATTTGTTTTGTTGAGTTTTCTCTAGAGTTGTATCTTCCAACAGTGTTTAGCAGTGTGACCCTGCTCAGTTTCTTCCTGGCTTTCTTTTTTAATTAACTTTTGTTCTGCTTTGAAGCCTGGCTTTCTTGGAGTAAGCCTTTTGTACTGGTCAACTAATTATTGGCAAAAGGTTGTACAGAAACACCTTAGACCAGGTCCACTTGCACCCTTTGTCCAATGGATCTGTGTGTGGTTTGGAGAATCCATTCAAAGTTCTGGAAGGTTACAAGTTTTTCTTGGCTTTTACTTTCTGCATTTGCAAGGCTTCATAATCAACTAGGAAGCAAAGGTCCTCTTTGGTTTCTCTTAAGCTTATATATAAACTTGAAGATGAAAGCAGCACTGCAGATCATTGGAATATGGGGGAGTTTATTAAGATTCATTATGGTTTTCTTGTTCTCTGGGTCTCTTTGTTAAAATCTTCACTGGTTTGCTGTTATCTCAACCCCCAAGTTAGTGATATAAATCTTTCCTTACTGTCACCATTTTTTTGTGATGGTACTAGGGATTGAACTCAAGGTGTCACACTTGCTGGGCAAGCCCTTTACCACTTGAGTCACACCCTGAGCTCTTTTTGCTTTTAGTTTTTACATAAACTGGTCTTCCCACTATGATCCTCCAACTTCCTACTTGAGTAGTTGGGATTATAGGTGTATGCCATCACACCTGGCTTATTTTCTTTTCTTTTATGATAACCTTGCACAGGTATTTATTGGTGTACCATTCCAAATCTAGCCTGGCCACATATAACTATCATGCAGACTTGCTTGATTGAAGTAGCTTGAGGTTTAAGGATCACAGAATTCCATTGCTCTTACCAAGGTTTAATTTTTCTTGACTAAATTCTTCTCAATTTGCTGCATTTCTTTGGTCAATTTCCAGAATCTAAAATAGCTATCTGGTTACCCACTTTACTTACTTACTTAATTTATTTATTGTGGCACTGGGGATTGAACCAGGTCCTGTGCAAGTCTCCCAGGATCTCTCCCCACACCTTTTTAATTTCATTTTGTTTTTGAGGCAGGGTCTCACCATTACCTTTGCTAGTGCTGGCCTCAAACTTATGATCCTCATATCTCCACCTACTGAATAGCTAAGATTACAGGTGTGCACTACCATAAGTGGCACTGTTTGATAATTTTGTTCAGCTGTATTTTTACTTTTGCTTTTTCAGGAAAAAATTGCTGAGCTCTTCTCTCAGCCATTCCAGAAATCATAATATTGAGTTTTAAACAAAGTATTTTAAGTTAGAGCCAAATATTTGTATCACCTCATTGCATATGACATACTTGGCTCCTTTGTTAAAAAATCATCACAGTCAAATAAATTTTTATAAGTAAAAAATGGAAGCAAAACAAAAGAAAGCACAAAATCGCACAAATGAAATGAATCCTTTTGGAACTAATGATTTTAAGTTCAGATTGACTAAAAAATGGAGGAAAGAATATGAAAAGCAGTACATTATGACTGCATTCATGAAAGGGGTCCTAGACTTGATTCTGACACTTACAGATAATTTAGGTAAGGTCATCAACTTTTTTGAATCTCAGTTTTTTTCTTTCTTTGGTTGTACTGGGGTTTGAACTCAGGACCTTGAGCTTGCTAAGCATGAGTTCTACTGCTTGAGCCACTTCAACAGTTGCTGTAGTTATTTTTGAGATAGGGTCTTCTGTTTATGACTAGGAGGGCCTGGTGTACAATCTTCCTATTTATGCTTCCCCTGTATCTGGAATGACAGATGCACCCACACGGCTCAGCTTTTTATTAGTTGAGTTGGGGGTCTCAACTAATTTGCCTGGGCTGGCTGGCTGGAAATCCCCCAATCTTCACCTCCCAAGTAGCAAGGATTACATGCATGAGCCTCGGTTTCCTATTTTGCAAAATGAGATAACACTATAATTTCATCCAGTTATTCTGAGAACTCCACAAGATAATATAAGTAGAAGTATTTGGCAAAGAACAAACTTCTAGAAAAATACAAGAGTTTATTACCATTTAAAAAAATAGGGATACTATTAGTAGTTGCCAAATAAGCCAAGAAATATAAATGAAAGCTACCATAGCAATCTTTCTCTATATGCTGTCATACTGACTTCAGAATATATTGTTATAATATGAAATTGTATTATAGTATTTTAACAGGTTAAAAAAAACGGTTACTGTAGTTACACAGAAGCCTTTAAATATTTCCTAACAATATCTCATTTGTACACATAAGTATGTTTAAACATTTTATTTGTGATAGTTAAAAATAAAGATAACTTTGTCAAGCACATCTGAAATCTCTATATAGGGCTGAGTCTTCTGAGTACAAAAAAGTAAATAGATTTTGTTTTTGTTTAATCTACTTTAAGAATAACAAGTTAGGGCTAGCAGAGTGGCTCAAGTGATAGATAGGCTTAGCAAGCCTAGCAAACATGAGGTCCTGAGTTCAAACCCCCATACCACCAAACAAACAAACAAACAACAAAACAAAAAGAGTAACAAGTTAATAACTCCATTTAAAAACTTCCTACCACCTCAACTAATCTCAACTTTATATAGCATGGCCTCTTTAAATGATGACTATATAGACTTGTTCTTAAGTATTTCAAAAAAAATGCAATCCTATTTCAGTAAACCTCCAGAAATTCCCCAGAAGAAACTACTGAAACATTTGTATGCATAATACTTTTAAGAAATGGTGGGCTGGGTATAAGTCAGTGGTAGAGCACCTGCCTAGCATGTGCAGAGCTAGGCATGTGCAGTGTATTCAAATGCTAGCACTGGCAAAAGAAAACAACACTCCCCACCAAAAAAAAAAAACCAGAAAGAAGAGGCAAAGTGACAATGTATATATCTGAGTTTATTCTAAAAGCAAAGTTTAATATAGATTCCATCCTATTTCTGAAACTTTCTATTCAAATGTGTAGTATAATGGCAATACCAGAAAAACAATGAAAAATACTCAAGGTGTTAAAAACCAAACCACAGAAATAAAATGTGCAGACATTTTAAATATAACCCAGGCATTTTGCTGTAATTTATTCTATGTAAATCCTTAAGAAAAGGCATGCAAACTTTATCACTAAATTATTTCAATATACTAAAGAAAAACAGAGCTCATGAAGGATGAACAGGGCTACTATGAAATTATTTAAGACTGCATTAAAGATTTTACTAATATATAAGGAAATCATTTTATGTAATCTTGAGCTTAAATAGTAACAGAAAATAAAACAGTAATTCAAAACAGTCCTTTTTTGTGAAAACTGTACAAATAACTGTAGGGCATGCATGTAAATAGGTATATAAATTATTAAAAATGTCAACACCAATTATCTGTAAATATAGAAGTTATGGGCATTTTTTTTGCTTCCTTTTGCTAATTATTCCATAAGAAACACAAATCATTTTGCCCCTCTCCCCATGGCTACCTTTTTAAAATGCCTTTTTTAATTAAAAAAATTTAGTAGTCTCTGGAATTTTAATGTAAACGTTTTTATTTTACTTTTTTGTGGTGCTCAAATTGAACCTAGGGTCTCCCGCCTGCTAGGGAAGTGCTGTGAGCTACTCTCTAGCCCCAGTGCAATTTTAATGTTAAACAGAATTTGACTTCTAAATTAATCTAGTCCTTAGCTAGTAAGGTCCTTTAATAAAAATATTTCTACATGCAACTATTTTGAGAGTTTTACAGTAATGATCACATTAAAGTGGGACACATTGTTACTTAGTGACCAATATATTTCAGTTGTTAGAAATTTCAACTATATAATAAAAAAATAAACACATGGAAGCTACACATTTACCTAATAATTTGTCCTTCTTCTTCTGGAGTAGCTGGTCTTAATCCTAGAACTATGTGACACACCTAGGGAAAAGCAAAAAGATCAATCAAACTTTATTTACTGGTGCCAATGACTAGAATATTTCACACTATGAAATATAAGAGATCCACTTTTTAGATAGATATCTGAATCAGCAATAGTTTTACTGGTGATTATCAAATGATCAATAATCTATCTGAGCAAAAAACTTTAGGTGTGCTTTCATCTGTATATATTTAATTTGGTGGAGTTTGAATGCAGGGCTTCATGCTTGCTAGGCAGGCGCTCTACCACTTGAGACACTCCAACAGCCCATTTTGTGTTGGTTTTTTTTGAGATAAGGTTTCTTGAACTATTTGCCCAGGCTGGCTCGAACTGTGACCCTCCTGATCTCTGCCTCCTGAGTAGCTAGGATTAAAGGTGAGCCAGTAGTCAGCAGTGTCCAGCTTCTATTTATTTTTTTAAGATGGAGGTTAACTTCCTAATCTCTAAGAAAAGAGAAAAGGAAAGGGAAAGAGGAAAAGGAAGAGGAAGGCGAAGGGAGAGAAAAGGTAAAGAATGGAAGAGAGGGAAGAAAAAGGGAAAAGGAAAAAGGAGGGGGAATAGAAGAAAAAAAGAAATACTTCCTAGACTATTTCATTAATACTGTATTTTTAATTCACTCATTCATTCACAAATGGAAAAACAATTTATTCCCAGCTTGGCAATGCTATTATTTTAACAATGCTTTCACAAGGTACATTTTCATTGTTACAAAGTATTCATTGGGTGAAATGTGTCACAATTTATTTATCCAATTATTGTTTGTAAGTATTTAAATCATTTTTTTGTTTTAGGCAATAACAGAGTGCATATAAAAACATACGTCAAGTTTCTATAGGGAATGCTTATGTCTAAGCTTCACAAATACTGTCAATTTCCAGTGATCATACCACTTTATACTGCCATTAGTAATGTGTGAGAATTCTACCTGCTTGTTATCAATAATATTTCAAATCACTTAAAAACTAACCATTCTGTTAGCTATTTAATAGTATTCCAAGTATGATTTTAACATACATTTGCATGATAACTAAAGAGTCTCTTTTCATAAATTTATAAGGTACTTGGATATTTTCTTTTGTAATAATTGTTCAGGTTTGTTGCACATTTTTATATTTGGATTCTGTAATTTCTTATTGATTTTTGTTCTTTGATTTGATACAAGACCTTTTTTAAGATTATACATGTTGCAAATATCTTCTATCACTCTGTGGCTTATCCTTTCATTCTCCTAATGGCATCTCTTGATAAAAAAGCTCTTCATTTTATTGACATTCAACTTAAAAACCTTTTCCTTTCTAGTTAATCCTGTTTAAGAACTCTTTGCCACATCCAAATCACCAAAATACACATTTTTTTCAAGAAACTTTATTTTTGCCAATTACATTTAGACTTATAACCTACATGAAATTAATTTGTATGTATGGTTTGAGGTAAGAATAATGATGTACTTTTCCACGTGTTTACTTAAAAAAATCCCTTTCTTTCTGCACTGGAATGTTGCTATAAGAATAGCATCAAGTACCACACAACCAAGTAACCACATATGATTGCTAGGTCTATTTTCTATTTCAGGACTCAAGGCTATCCCACTGATCTATCTGTGAAATTTTATGTAAATACCTCATTTTCTTAGATATTGTTTTTTTATAAAACTCCCTAGTACCTGGTAATATAAGTCCTCTAACTCTGACACTTAATATTAACTTGGTAATTCTTGGTCCTCTGGATTCTATATATTTAACATCAGCTTGTCAAGTTCCATAAAAACAAGGACAATAACCTTTTTGGGATTATGACTATGAGTGTAACAAATCTATAATCAATTTAAAGGGAATTGCCATTTTTATAATATTCAGTCTTTCAATTTGAAAACATTATCTTCTCTGTATTGCTTTCTATTGCTGCTATAACAAATTTAGTAGCTTAAAACAACATCCACTTGTTATTTTATAGTTCTGTATATTAGAAGTCAGGCACCAAGCCTCATGAGGCTAAAATCAAGATGTACACTCTAAAGATAAACATGTGTCCTTGCCTTTTTTAGCTTCTGGGGGCCACCCACACTTTTTTGCTCATGTTTCCTTTCTCTAACTTTATATTCAGCATCTTTAGGACCCTTCTTCCAAAGGTCCTCACCACAGATGAGAAAAGTTCTCTACTTATAAAGATACATGAGATTACATTTTGGGTCCATCTGGAAATCCAAGCTAATCTTCCCATTTCTAAGTCTTCAATCTGATACATCTGTAAAGTCTACTTTCACATGTAAGGTAACATACTCACAACTTCTGGGGACTGGGGCCTAAATATATTGGCAGAAGGCATTATTGTACCATCTCTCTCTCTCTTTTTTTTTAAGAGACAAGGTCTCAGGCTGGTGGAGTGGCTCAAGAGGTAAAAGCACCCTGAGTTCAAGCCCCAGTGCACAAAAAAAAGAGAGACACAAACACATGGTCTCCATGTGTTACCTAGGCTGGCCCTTAACTCCTAGGTTCAAGTGATCTTCCTGCCTCAATCTCCCAAGCAATTTATACTACCACAGTGTGCCTCTACACCTGGCTAGTCTATCATACTTTTTTTTTTTTTTAAAGCAGGAGAGATTATTAAGAAAAGTAGCCAAAACAAAAGTATAGCTCCAAGATCTGGGAGGGATTCCAAGAGAGGGTGCTCCTAAGTCTATCATACTTTTTAACATGTAATTTTTTTTTGACAAATGTACAAAAAAGACCCTGATTATGTCTGGTATGCTCCCTGTAGAAAGAAAATAAAGATACCATCTAAGAAATATTTTTCAGAAACCTAAAACACCAAGTTAAAAGTGATCCTGTCAAAGAAAAAAAAAAGAAAACCTTAATTCAATATTGTATCACTAAATTTATCAGCTAATTCTAGCAATTTTAAGATACAGATAGAAAATAAAACTTAGTATAACTGCCTGCTTACTTATATTTTAATTGCATGTATAATTTTATAAGAACATTGGCATACAGGCCAAATCAAGTGTAGTAAAATTTAATAATAAATTTAGGTAGTAAATCAATTATGGCTGCTCTTTGACAAAAATCTTCGTTTTTCATAATAAAATATTAGAAACACATACACATATAAGTAAATCTCAAGTACTGGTTTGTTTATAAGTTAGAGAGTCATAGAAAAATAGTGCCACTCCAGGTCTTTCATAAGAATGGGAAAATAGGGAAGGCAATACCCAAAGTCAAAATGTTATACTACATGAGAACTACATGATGACTCAGACATAAACTTAAGTGATCAAAATGTTTATATATTAAATATGAGATAAAGTGGTTTTAAAAGTAACAATAGTAATCCAGACACAGTGGGACACTTCCATAATTCCAGCTACTTGGGAGGAAGAACTAGGAGAATCATGAGTTCTAGATTAGCCCAGGCAAAGGTAACAGAGGAGACTGTCTTAGAAACAAAATAAAAACAGAAGGGCTGAGGGTATGTCTCACACAGTAGAGTGCTTGTCTAGGAAGCATGAGGCAGTGGGTTCAATTTCCAGTATGGAGGGAAAAAAAGTAATAATAAAAGAGCTTACTATTAAGGATATTATTTTAAATGAGAGCAAAAATGGTTGACCAATTTTCAAGTTACCAAGCAAGTCAGTTCTATTTATAGCAGTCATCTATATTATTTATAAATATAAATAGAATATATGTAATATTCTATAATATACAATATTCTAATAACATATAATATAATAAAGGCATCACCTTGAATCCTAGCTGAAAATTATAACTGACTGATATAAATGAGTATCATAGGTTTATTGGATCATGTATTATTTAAATACATGACAATGAGTCATTAGATGTCAAGATGAGACAAATTTCCCTCTGTTCCAACATAGCTGTGTTACAAACTAGTAATTCTTTATTTAAAATGAAAGATCATGATATAATATAAACATATCAAACCATGCTAACCTTCACAAGGGTGCTTTTTAAGGGGAAAAAAAGAAAGAGTTCAAAATAACCACTATGAAAAATTAGAAAGTGTGAGTTATCTTTAAAAAAAATCAATGTGAGAGAACCAATTTAATTGGAATTGTTATCAAAATCTGGCAAGCCCAGTGGCTTAATGTTCACTTCTGATAGGTTTCCTTCCTTCCCTCTTAATCTTATCTGTTCTTTTTTTTTCTTACTTGGATTTTCTAAAGAATAAAACTTAGGAAATAACCTTGTAGCTGACATCTTGCAGCTAGAAGGGATGTGTTCTTTGAAAAATTTAGTTATTTATTTCCCATCTTTCTGATCACATTGCCTTACCTATTAGGAAGAACCCCCAAAAGATAACAATAGGTAGGGGGATGTAGCTTAGTGGTAGAACACTTGCACAACATGCACAAGGGCTTGGGTTTGATCCCCAGTACCAGGATGGAGTGAGTGGGGAGGCAGACAATAATGAAGAAAAATAACAAATTATGATGTCTCTCACAATTAAGAAGATTTTATATATATCTACATGCTTCTCTATCATGAGTTATAGTAAGAAAAACAAATGTAATGATTTCCATTCATTTTCTTATTTCCCACATCATGATTTTGAGAAGCTTCAGTGGGCATTCACACTCTAGATTACCAACATCTGGAGGTACACAATATAATGTAATTCTGTCTTTATAAAATATATGGTTTTGAAGCCTAGAGGCGACAGCTCTAACTATTATATGATTGAAAAGATGCAGAACCTCTGGTACTATTACCTTCTTTATTTGTCATTTACCTGGAAGAGGAGATTCAAAAATTCATTGGCAAGAACATTTTTCACACTCCAGATCTGATAGTCCTCCAGAGTAAGGTGTCCAATCTGAAAGTGAGACATTGATAAAGATCTCATGTTAAGACTTCTGAAAGCAAACCCTTAATCTATAGATGTAATGTGCTCATCTGAAAATAAGTCAACTAGTATAAGCTTACAAGTGACAAATCCTATGCAAATTCTATTTGTAATTTTACTCAAGCAATGAATAGAAACAAAACACTTATCATTGATAATCTTTCTCCAATAAAACCTGGGAAATAGCTTAAAATATTTTTATTTCAAGGGTTATCTATGAAAAACCCCAATAGGCTCTAGGTGAACAAAAGGGAATCAAAAAGCAGACTTTCTGGATTATGCTCTTTCATTCAAAAAATTTTTAAGACCTTTTAATGAATATGTACATTACATTTTACCAAAATACAATTTAATATTATTTTTCTAAATTAAGTAATGCAACTTTTTATTTTTTTGTTATGATACTGGGGCTTGAACTCAGGGCCTACACCCTGAGACACTCCACCAGCCCTTTTTTGTGAAGAGTCTTTTTTGAGATAGAGTCTCATAAACTATTTGCCCATGCTGGTTTCAAACTGTGATCCTCCTGATCTCTGCCTTCTGAGTAGCTAGGATTACAGGCGTTAGCCACTGGAACCTGGCTTAAGTAAAGGAACATTTTTGTTATGTCAATACATATAAAAACTACATATACATATTGAGGCTAATATATCATATCATCAAATGTTTATTTCACATGTTCAACAACTGCCTAATAATCCTAGATGAATGTTTTTAGTTTTTGCTCTTTAATAATACTGATATATTGTCTTTTTATCATATAATATCATGATACATAAGATTTTCAATTGCCCTTATTATAATTAGTGGCTTTCATGAGATAATTTCTATTTAACTTGTCAATACCAATCTAAATGTTGGCTAAAAATAGAAAAGCAGTTTTTCCTCTTCACATTCCTAAGTCTTCTACAATTCAGAGGGTAAATTAGTGTAAACTCATTTTTGTTTGTTTGACAAGGTGCATTTAATCACAAAATTTTAGTTTGTGGTAATGCAAACATATAAGGCTTAACTAGGTAAGGTGGAGGATGTAGCAATTTAGTGAATTTCACATATACAATAGGAAATACTGCCCATTTTCTTTAAAAACTTTAGACAACTAAATACACAAAAGATGTTCTAGTAACATTTACCATCACTTTCTTTTCTGCCTCAAATTACTCGTGGCAATCAATTAATAAGGAAAACACACACATGATTTCCTTTTCTTTTTTGGTAGTACTGGGATTTGAATCTCTCTCTTTTCTTTTTTTTTGGCAGTACTGTGGTTTGAACTCAAGGCCTCATGCTTACTTCGCAGGCCTCTACCACTTGAGCCATTCTGCCAAGAATCACATCATTTTTAACAGAAAAAAAAAAAAGCTGACTTGTGGAACCACTGAAGTGTAGGTATATGTCAACTTTTATAACCAAGCAACAGACATCAACAGACATGTGAGGATTTTAATGGTTAAGAAAAGCTTCTAAATTCAGGTAGAGAAATCAGCTAAAGAGCCAGAAAAATAAAAAATAAAGAGCAATAAAACAAACCCCTTACTCCACTCTTTTTTTTTTTAAAACAAGTTCCTATTAAAAAATTTAAAAGGTAAACTGGCTTGAGGAGTGGCTTAAATGGCAGAGTGCCTGCCTAGCCACCATGAGGCCCTGAGTTCAAACCCAAGCACCACCAAAATAAATAAACAAATAAAAATAAAGGTAGCTTGAAAAGGGGCAGGCAAACCACTAGATTATGCCTAGCATTGAATCACAGAATCTTTCTTATCATGATCACCTTCTTAAATTATCCTATTTACGCATAAGAAAGAGGAAGTGTTTTGAAGAATTTTGTTAGGTTTTCCACTCCCCCAATCTAGTACAAGAAGCTGAAAACATCTGGATCTATTACATAATACATAATGCCCTCAGGGATCTTTGACTGAGAAGCCTATGTATTGTTGTACACGCAATCAGAACTCTAAATTATTCCTCTAGTCACCAATTATTAGTAATTCCTCTTGCCTTTGAGAATAACTTTGTAACTATAGCCTTATGATTTTATTTTTTGGTGGTAATAGGGTTTGAACCCAGGGCCTCACTTGAGTTATGGCTCCAATTCTAGCAATAAGTTTTTTGGGTACTAGGGTTCAAATTCGGGGCTTTGTGCTTGTGAGGCAGGCACTCTATACTTGAACTATGCCTCTAGTCTTTTTTGCTTTAGGTATTTTTCCCATAGGGCTTTGCTTTATGTATGGCTGGGCTGGCTTGGACCTCGATCTTCCTATTTATGCTTTCCCCATAAATGGGGTAACAGGTGTGTGCCAACATGCCCAGTATTTAATAGCTGAGATGGAGTCTTGCTAACTTCTTGCCTAGGCTGGCCTCAACTATGATCCTCCTGATCTCTACATCCTGAGTAGCTAGGATTATGGGCATGAGTCATTGTGTCTGGCTTCTTTTGCTTTTTTTTTTTTTTTTTTTTTTTTTTAATGACAGGGTCTTGCTATGTAGCTCAAGTTGGCCTCAAATTCTTGATGCTCTCCTGTCTTACTACCCAGAGTGCTGGGATTACAGACATGTACCACCATGCTCAGCCCACAAAGCAATTTCTAACAGAAAACTTCAGGTTTCTGTTCTTATACGTATCAAATGAAAGTAGATACTTTAGTTTTTGACAAAGGGAGGTGAAAGAAAGGGGGAAGACTGTATTGCCAGAATAGTTATTCTAGCTGTTGTCAGAAAACTCAAAAGAAGCTCTTCCATAACTGAAAAAAATGTCTTCTTAAAGAATATATGCTGTCTGGTGGAGTTGCTCAAGTGGTAGAGGAACTGCCTTGCACACGCAGGGCCATTATTTCAAACCCCAACACCACAATACCCCAGAACCACAATAAACAAATGAATAAATGAAACACATGCACACATATACAGGTACCAGGCCAGAAATGGTAGCCTGTAATTCCAGCTATTCATGAGGCAGAAATCAGGAAGACTTCAGTTCAAGGCCAGCCTGGGCAAAAAAGTTGGTGAGACCCCCATCTCAACAAATAAACTAAGTTTGGTATACTGTAATCCCAGATATGAGGGAGGCATAGGTAGGAAGACCTTGGTTTGAGGCAGGGCCAGGCAAAAACTTCAGACCCTATCTGAAAAATAACTAAATGAATAAAGGGTTGGGGGCATAGCTTAAGTGGTGGAGCACTTGCCTAGCAAGCACGAGGCCTTGAGTTCAAACAAAGGTGGGGACTTGGTGGGGAGGGAGAAGTACCATCCAGATTTAAGATAAGAAAACATCTCCGTTACCTAAGATATCCTTAGGGTCTTTTCCAGTTAATCTACCCACTCGTGAAATCACTGTTCTAACTTCCATCAACTGTTAGATTTGCACTGTTATTAAACTTAATATAAATGGAGCCTGGCACTGCTGGCTCACGCCTGTAATCCTAGCTACTCAGGAGGCAGAGATCAGAAGGACTGAGGTTCAAAGCCAGCCCAGGGAACTAGTTCAAGAGACTCTATCTCGAAAAAACCCATCACAAAAAATGGTTGCTGGAGTGACTCAAGATGAAGGCCTTGAGTTCAGGCCCTAACAGAAATGGAGCTATATAATATATACTGTTTTATGTTTGTATTCTTTTATTCAACATAGTTAGCCTTACCAAAAATACTGAAATGAAGAAATCAAATTATAAACTATAGATGTCAACGGCTGTGTTTACTTACTTCTTATATTAGATTTAATAAGAGTTTTTTAAAGATGCAATGGGTTATCTTCAGAGATAATGTGTAGGTACTGTAACCACAGAGCCAGATAAAGACTTGCTAGGGATGATGCAGAAGTTATTTGCTTACATGTATAAACTACACATCTTGACTTAAGCATACACAGTATTTTTAGAAAAAGATAAATTAGTAATAGCCAGACTCACCTTTGTGGTATCATGTGCATTCAATATGCTTTCTACAATGTCAGAGAGATCCATATGCAATTCCTTTAAAAGAAGCAACCCAAAAGAATAATAAGAAAACACTAAGTGAATATAAATTTTTATTTTATTACTCCGTACTGCATGTTGGCTAAATATTTTTGGATTAGTATAAATAGATTCTGATGTTATTTCAAACATAATTTTCCTATTGTTTCATTCTTACTTTACACAATAAGTTTATTAAATTTTTCTAATGCAAACTCTGCAATTTTGCATTTTTAGCTATGAATATTGAGTAGCATAAATAGCAACTAAAGGCAATAATAAATTCTTTTTTCTCTCTCTTTTAAATCATTCACTCCATTTTCCTATTCAAGGTTTACATGCAACAAGATTTAATAATCAGGACTTACAGGGATATCATCAGTGCGGTTGTCCTTCCAGACCTCTAAAAGTGCAACCACCATGTCTCTGAGTTCAACCCGGGAGAGAACACCATCACGGTCGACATCAAACACCTTGAAGCAAACTAATAAAAAGAAACTCTTAAGAAGGGAAATGTATTATAGATTCTGAAATATAACACATTTTATTAGAAGGTGCTCTTTTTTATTATTAGTTTTTCAAGCAAGTACATTCGGCAGATCTTATCAGGGAACAGACTATAGTATATCATTGTATTTTTTGGAACTTACAGAAGTTCCCAAACAGACTTCATGAATCTACGTCTAAATCATTACTCAGATTGGGGGGCTATCAGGTAGAGCTAACTTTTTAATTTTGGGCAGCATTGGGGTTTGAACTCAGGGCCTCATGCTTGCTAGGCAGGCGCTCTTACTGCTTCAGTCACTCCACCAGCCCAGAGCTAATCTCTTTACAAAGCAGAAAGAACTAAGTCCTTATAATTATAAATAAGTAGTATTTATTTAAATACTATTTTTAATACAGTAACTATTACCTTACAGATTTTAAAGAGGTTACACAAGTCCATAAGTTAATTTCTTTCTTTCCTTTCTTTACATTTTTTTCTTTTCTCAGTATACCAGGCAAGTACTCTACTAGTGAGCTAAATCTCCAACCCACTTAATTTCCTTTCCCACATCCCACCACTCCTTTCCAGACAGGATCTCACTATGCACCCTAGGATGGTCTCAACCCACAATTCCCCTGCCTCAACATCCAGAGTGTTGAAATTAAACTGGGCACTGCCATGCCAAGCCCAAATATCTTAATTTCTAATGCTCAAAACTGACCATTGCAGAGTTGTTTCTTATATGCTTACAATATGACATCTATATTGAGAATCAGTAACAAGATGATGTAAAGACAGCCTGTTTCCACTTTACCTCTCTCAAGTAACTAAGACACATTCATTTTCTTTTTGTCAAGAACAATTTCAACTCTTCAAAGAATTTCACATATAATATACTAAGAATCAGAAAATCAGCAATTTGTTAATTAACTCCAATAGAATGACTCTAATTTTTAACTTCTACTAACCCATCAGCAAAGAAAAAATTTTTAAACTTTTAAAGACAATAAATAACCTCAAATGAGAAGCAGAGGTCGTTGTCTCCTTATTTAACACTAAATTTTAATTAAAACAAGTCACTTGTCATAAAGCCAGCTTGAGATAATTATATATTCACAAGGAATTTAAAAAAAAAACCTGAATTTTTAAGATAAAATATCTATTCAGACACTCCCATAGATTATGTTATTAAATCAAGTGAGTGAATCATTGAACGACATTACTAAATAAGATAAAAATACCAAACACAACACCGTAACATTTGTGAAGCTCTATTTTAGGAAGTCAGAAATAATTACCCTTGTGAACATATTTGCTTTAGATTCCAATTACATGTAAAGTGTTTCATTTTATCAAGCATGGTTAAGATTTAATAATGTAACATATTTATCCTTATAAATCATGCTATATCACTTTAGCTAGGTTATAAAGACCACTTAGTATTAAATAAAATTATGTTCTTACAAATTTCATTTTGTCAATAAAATATAAATGTGCACAAATGACAGAAAATAAGTTATACTTCAGATTATACAAAACACAAAATTCTCCACAGAGTAAAAGAAAACACTTCCTAAATATTTAAAATTTTCACTTACTATGAATTACAGATTTTTCTGGAAAATAAACCCTATTATTGACAGCAAGTATTCCAAACTGCTCCCCAGTAAAAAAAGAACAGATGATTACAACTTTAAGAATGACCTCAGTAAAACACCAACATGAGATTAACACTTATCACAAATGATCTTACATGGATGCAGCTAATTGTTTTCTGTACATAATTTGTAATTTTTGGACACTGCTTATCCCACTTACATTTTTGTCTTTCAGCCAGGGGTCCCCTGCAACAGGCTGATAACCCACAGGATATCTCCTTAAAGTCTATGTGATTGTCACGATTTTCATCAAAAGCATTAAATAAACCTTTAATAAAATTTAAAAAAAAAGACAGCATAAACAAACTTCCTAATGTTAATATTGACATGCTTATGAAAGGAGGAATGACTATGTCCCATAAACTGTCTGAATTGAAAAAAAAGTTTATTAGTAGATCCCAATGTCTCAGGAATTTCTTTTTCTCTTAGCATAATTGTAACTGAAACTTATGTTCCCAGAAGAAACATATTATAATCCTTTCATATGATTATGTCTGTCTCTAACTCTCATATAAATTCTAATAGATTAAAGATGCCTATGATATCTTTTTTAGTTGACAAGTAAAAACTTAAGGATCAAGAAAGGTCAGAAATTACAACCATTATCCTAACTTACAAAGATTGAGAAGAAAAAGGACAGCAAAAAGTTGAGTTGCTTATTAAATAAATATTCAAAAAAACTCTCTCATGAAGCAAAAGGAAATATACTATAAGAAGATATTATTTACTACAGTATCTTTTATTACTACAAAGTGTGCCACGCCTCCAGTCCTAATCCTATGTTTTCCAAACTGTTTTTATTTTTTATAAAATAAATGGAGTATTTTTTATTTTAAGTGAAATATTGGTCTCCTGTTCTAAAGAGGTAAAAATACAACTTTACTGTTGAAGGCAGTGGAAACTCAGAGTGTTATCTGCTCTGGCTTCCTTAATGAGTACTTTTGAAAAAGTATCTGAAAAAAATGCAGATCATATATTCCAGGAATCTAATTCAGTGTCCCAGTTTAAAAATTAGAAAACTAAAGCTCAACAGGAAGTAGGTTTAAAAACTTCAGAACCAGACTGAGGGTGTAGCTCAGTTGGTAGATTACTTGCCTAACATGAACAAGGCTCTGAGTTTGATTGCCAGCACTATATAATGCCCAAAACAAAAAACCTTCACAACCAGAAGCAGAACTCTAGTAATCAGATTCCAAATATGGTATTTATGGTATCATCTTTAGTTCTTTCTTTCTTTTTTTTTTACATGACAGTAACCATAAGTCTGGAGCAATAGTGGACCTCAGAGATGTTCTTATCTAGCAGTCTGCATTCTCTTTTTTTTTTTGGAGGGGTTGGCAACAGGGATACAGCAGTAAAATCTTATATGAACAACAACAAAAAGTGGAGGCACTTTAGCTGAGAAAGATGTAGAGTCATGTAAGTAAACTTGGAGCTCTGCCTATTCAGTGACCACCACTCCAATCCATGTGTTTTCTGCTAACACGTCTTATTAGAACACAATTTTATAACCACTGACTTGGTCAAACTCATTTTATCTATGAGAATATTAAGGTGCAGAGAGTGAAACTGATTTATGCAAGGTCACACAGTTAGAATATGAAGCTTGAGACTGCAATCTTAATTTCCACCTTAGTTTTTGTACACTATAGTACACCATTGGCAAGAAACTTGCAAACTATGGTCTTTCAGAGTTAAAGGAATTAAAAATAAGAGATGGATTCAGGTATATTTATTTACCAATGAACATTTGTAGAAAATGGAATGATTCTTACCTTCACTTAGAGAAGGACGAAGAGGTGGTGAAACCAAAGGGCCAAAGGTCTCTAAATCAAATCGTCCAGTCCGAGATTGAGCCTTCAGCAACCAATACCGTTTTTCGAGATCAATGATGTCTGATTCCTCCACTAAGAGTCAAATCAAGTAAGATTAAAAAACCTCAGAGTGTTCTGGGCAGTTAATTAATCCTTATACCTTCCATGAATACATTTTATCAATGAAGTTTCTAAAAATAATTATGACAAACCAAAACACTGAAAGATAAACATATCATAATTAAATGGTAGGAAAATTAAATTAAAATACCAAAAAACAAGTGAAAAAAGCAATCAGAAAAAAGAAAGTTACAATTTATCATTAAGTAGGCTGCTTAAATACAACATATAAAATATACAACTGATCCATTTCTTTTAGTCTTTTCAAATAACTTTTATATTTGCTTTAATTTTTTAAATTTTTAACCTTTATTTTCTGTGTACAATTTCTCTCCTGGCTACACTGTAAACATAATAGCAGGACCCAGGTCTCGTACATTCTGCCATTATGCTGACTTACACGTTCAATACTTATTGAATAAATGGTGTATCAAAAATTAAGGTAAATTTCAATCATGGCTAAATTTAATGTGTTTTTTCCTTCCAAGGAATTTAAAAAAAATAAAAAAGCATATACAAGATATTTATTTTCAACTAGACACAGAAACCAAAGAGCTTCTATTTTAAGTGTAAATCTGGGAATGTGAACTTCGGGCCATAATGTGTAACTAGTATCACATTTGCCCTTGTGCCATAAATGACTAGAGACACATACAAAACATAAAGTATTTCTAGAAATTACAGAACAGGCAGTGCAGGATTGCGATTTCACAAGATCAAGGAAACTAATAAGGTGACCACTTTCATTTCTTGGCTTTCTGATTGCATTCACTTTCCAAACCTTAACAAGGCATAAGGAACTTCACTTTACAGAAATTTCACTGAGTTAAGAACAGAGGCTAGTATAGAGAGGATGAGGTGAAATTTGGAGAGAAACTATTGGAGAGGAAAGAATTAGGCAAATAAAGAGCTCCAAAAATCTATGTGGGTGTCCTGCTGAGTTTTAGCAGAAAACTAAGCGGTATATGCAGAGTGAAACTCATTAATGCTGGGCTAGGAACAAATACTGAGGAACTGTATATTGAAAAATCCCAGAGCTCATGTAGGGCTGGGAGATCCCATATAACCTTCATAATGTCTAGCATTGAAAGAAAACATAAAAGTAGAAAAATATGTCACAAAACCAATAGAGAAAGACTTAGAAATGACAGATAATGGAATTAGCAGACAGGACTTCAAAATATCTGTTACAAATATTTTAAGAATTAAATATATCAAGGAAAGAAATGGCAACTATAAATAATTATGAACTGGGATGACTAAAGATGGAGAGTAAAATATTTGAAATAAAATATCTGAAATAATAATAGCAGAAATTGTCCGAAATTTGGTGAAAAATAATCCCCCAGATCCAACCATAATCTGGTTGCTGATAAAGAAAAAAATCTCAGAGACTGGGGATGTTGCTGAAAGATAACTTATTTGCCCAGCATGAGTAAGGCCCTGGTTTGAGTGGAAACACTGGGGAGGGAGTGAAGGGAAAGGCAAGGGAGAGGAAGAAGAGAAGGAAAGGGGAGGAGGAGAAAGAGAGGAGAGAGGGAGTGAATGAATGAGAATATCTTTGTTTTTATTAGCATACATTAATAGTACAAGATAAATCCACAGACGCATACATTGTACTTTGAACAAATTAACCTCCTCTATTATATTCCTTCCCTTAATTCTCCGCTCTCCTCCCCCCTTCTTCAAACAGTATTTGGTAGGTTTCATTATGCTATCTTCATAGACAGACAGATTTAACTCTCTTCACCCGCAGAACCCTATACTCCCAGACAGTCTCCCTTTTATACTCATGTCCCAATATTATTATTATTGTTGTGGCATATGAGCAAAAACAGGAGATATTTGGCTTTATAGCTTGGCATATTCTCACTCAATATGATGATCTCCAGTTCCACCCATTTTCCTGTAAATAAACACATGGCCGGAGAAAGCGGGTGCAGTGTCACCTCCCCCAGTGTGCTTAGAAAGGGGAAAGCTTGTAGCAGCGGCTCACGCTCACGCACAGAACTCTAAGTAAATAAAGACTGCAGGGCCAGAGATCTGCATAAATAAAGCCTCCAGCAACATCAGGCTGACAGAAGCAGGCAGGCGAGCCACAGCTGCAGATAGCCATTCACAGACCTGTCTCCACACTTTTTTTTCCTCTCTCCTTACTTTTGATGAGAAAACAACCGAACTACACCTGCATGCTGAAAAACTTATTGAAACTGTATTGCATTTGAACTTGGGACACTTTGTGGGTTTTTTTTGTTGTTGTTGCTTTGTTTTGTGCAGTTCTGTTCTATTTTATTTTTCCCCTTTGATAAGACACCTACAGAACAACATGTGAAGCACCATATCCAGGATATCCAGAATATATAAAATTTTCATTTTATATATATATATATTTTTTCTTTCATTTACTTATATTTTATTTTTATTCTTATCTTTATTCTTTTTATTTTTTATTTTCAATCCTCTGCCTCTCTAATGCCTTTTCAGTTTACGACTGATTAGTACACTGTTTCTCCCTGTTTATACCCTTGAAACTTTTTTGTTTGTTTTGTTTTTCTACTTGTTTATTTGTTTTTCCCTTTCCTTTAACTTCTTTGTTTTCCATCCCCTCTCACCCTTCCATTCTAAATATCACTAGTGCTATTATTACAAGCCAGAAAATACTTAACTGCACACAGTCCAGAGACAATAACAACAAGAGCAATGACGGGAAGACAGAAAAAACAGGGAAACCAGTTTCCCCACAGCAAAAAGTTAGTACAGGAACCAAAGGGAAATGAAGAAAACAGATACTCAGATCCAGACTCCAACAAAATGAAGATAAACTATGCCAAAGAACCCAATGAGGCTCATAAGAATAATCTAAAAGAAGAAATACTACAGGTAATCAATGAGAATTTTATAGACATGATACTGGATATGGGCAATTAAAATGTACAGGAGACACTCAAGGAATTCCAAGGCAACAAAAATAGAGAATTTGAAAAAGCAAAAGAAGAAATAAAGGAAACCATAGAAGCACTGTATAAACACCAAAGTGAAACAGAACACGATTAATAAAGAGATAAATGAACTCAGGAAAATAATAGACAACATTAAAGAGGAAACGACACAGGATATGGAAAACCGTAGAAAAAAGAACGAAACAGAATTGCAAGACAAAACGGAAGGCCAATCCAGCAAAATAGAGAAAAAGAAGACAGAATCTCAGAACTCGAAGATGAAATGGTAATTAAAGGAAAAACTGAAGAACTATTAATTAAACAACTCAAGACCTGTGAAAAGAAAATTCAAGAACTCACCAACTCCATCAAAAGACCAGCAAAACTATCATTCAAAATAGATAGAGCAATAAAGGTCTTCCATGATAAGCAGAAACTAAAACAATATATGAACACAAAGCCACCAATACAAAAGATTCTTCAAGGGATTCTGCACACAGAAAGTGAAACCCAACATAACCGAGAAAGGACAGGCAGCACCAAACCACAGGAAAAGAAAAAGCAAGAAAGTAGAGAGTAACCTCAACTTAGGTACACACAATCAAACCTTCAAACAACTAAGACAACTAATTGACAGGAATCACCACATTCCTATCAGTACTAACACTTAATGTTAACGGACTTAATTCACCCATCAAAAGGCACCACTTGACAAATGGATTAAAAAGGAAGATCCAACAATTTGTTGCTTACAGGACACCCATCTCACCAACAGAAATAAGCATAGGCATAGGATGAAAGGCTGGAAGAAGATTTACCATGCCAATGGCGCCTGAAAACAGGCAGAAGTAGCAATGCTTATCTCTGACAAAGTAGAATTCAAACGTACATTGATCAAACGAGATAAAGAAGGACATTCCATATTAATAAAAGGGGAAATAGACTAAAAGGAAATATAATTATCAACCTATATGCACCCAATGTCAATGCACCCAATTTCATCAAACATACCCTGAAAGACCTAAAAGCATATATTAACTCCAACACAGTGGTTGTGGGAGACTTTAACACCCCATTATCATCAATAGATAGGTCATCCAAACAAAAATCTATAAAGAAATTCAAGACCTAAAATACACAATAGGTCAAATGGACCTACTTGATGTCTACAGAACATTTCATCCAACTCCTACACAATATACATTCTTCTCAGCAGCCCATGGAACCTTCTCCAAAACAGATCATATCCTAGGGCACAAAGCAAGCCTCAGCAAATATAAGAAAACAGAAATTATACCGTGCATTCTATCTGATCACAATGGAGTAAAACTAGAACTCAACATCAAAAGTAAAGACAAAAAACATGCAAACAGCTGGAAACTAAATAACTCATTACTTAATGAACAATGGATCATTGATGAAATAAAAGAGGAAATTAAAAAGTTCCTGGAAGTCAATGAAAATGAAAACACAACCTACCGGAACCTATGGGACACAGAAAGGCAGTCTGAGAGGAAAGTTTATAGCCATGAGTGCATATATTAAAAAGACTGAAAGATCCCAAATCAATGACCTAATGATACATCTCAAACTCCTAGAAAAACAAGAACAAGCAATCCCAAAACAAATAGAAGGAGAGAAATAATAAAAATAAGAGCTGAAATCAACGAAATAGAAACCAAAAAAACCATACAAAGAATTAATGAAACAAAAAGTTGGTTCTTTGAAAAAATAAACAAGATCGATAGACCCCTGGCAAATGACTAAAATGAGGAGAGGAAAAAAGAAAAAAACCCAAATTAGTAGAATCAGGAATGCAAAAGGGGAGATAACAACAAACACCATGGAAGTCCAGGAAATCATCAGAGACTACTTTGAGAACCTATATTCAAATAAATTTGAAAATCTTAAAGAAATGGACAGATTTCTAGATACATATGATCATCCAAAACTGAACCAAGAGGATATTAATCACCTGAATAGATCTATAACACAAAATGAAATTGAAGCAGCAATCAAGAGTCTCCCCAAAAAGAAA